AAAAAATAATAAATTCTTACAGGTGTTTTTTTAATAAGTTTTTTGTATATAATCGAAAATTTTGTATAGACGAAGTACGTTTGATTTTTACCCTCAATTAAATTATTAATTCTCCAGTGGTGCCCACGATTCGGTTTAAAATGCATCTAGAAGGAAAGCCAGGTGTAAAACTATTTTAAATAAATAACGACCCAATCAAAATTTAAAATTTATAGAAGAAAACACATTTTAAGCAATTTCCATATAGATTTATGATATTCACTGTCGTATATTTTCAACACAAAGACGACCCAGAACAAGCAGAAAATTAATATTTTTTTCTGTTCTACACAATAATTTTCACACGATGCCAAAATTTAGAGAACATCAGGTTATTTTTTCCCAGGTTTTGGAGATTTTGGATGCATTCACTGACTAGTTTTGATGTGTTTTTTTTAGCTAGCGAATGTTTTAATAGCTGCTTGGCTATCCTACCTTATGAGGATTTTTTTGCCAGTGTAACCTCTTTTAAGATTTTCTGGACACAATGGCATGTATTTCAGCTTGAACAATGTCGACGAATTTTGAAGAACATTCTAATCATTTAAAACTAACCGACTAAACTAATACAATTATTATTTTTTATTGCTTTCATGTTTTCCAATTTTAGTTTCGACTTGAAAATCGTTCCATTTATTATTATTATGTTAGTACAAGTAGTATATTTTGTAGGCTTAGAGTTGGTTATTATACCATAAGGGTTGGGGTTTTTTTTTTATTTTTTTTTTTTAACCTTTTCATTGTCTGGGTGATGGAAGGGAAGGAAGTGGCGATAAAAACTCGATCTTAGTGCACCAACTGCATCTAATCACCCTTTTTCTTTGATTTGTCAATTCGAGAAAGAAGTGAATTACAATGCAGCTACCTCTCCTATAAAGGCATGGAGTTTTTCCCCTAGACCCTAAGACCCAGCCGACCGCTAATTAGGTACCGATGGAAATTTTTTATACGGGCGGGATTCGTCCCCTTTCTGATTTTTTACCCAGGTTGAAAGGTTTTCCTTCCCAGGTGTCAGCACAGGATGTGACACATCTGTGGCACGGTGAGGAAGGAGGCGCGGGCCTAATCCCCGGTTTTAAATCTTATTCACAAATGAGATTGTGAAAGAGAGAAAAAAAGGTATAAAAAATGGAATAAAAAAAAGAACAAAGGGCAAGGAGGGGACTGGGCCGCCCACGCACTTCCTACTACATTCCAACAGTGAAAACTTTAGAGAGCTAGCTTATACCATCGCCCTTATCTAAATGCGACACTTTTTTCATCGTGACAAAAAAAATTCCCAGATTTGCATTATGTGTATTTACTGTCGTTCAGTTCAAAAAAATTCACTGTTAATGGTAAGGCCTAGAAAATCAAAATGCATAAACCATTGATGATGGCGGAAAGCCGGAACGCCTTTGACTGGACAAAACAGCGAGGGTGGACATTATATATATATATATATATGGGTTTTCATGGGAAAAACTTAATATTTAAATTATTGATATTTTCCTCTTGAAGCCTGTGGGGGATGAACCTGAAAATTAGACGTTCTCAATCACTCTGGTCTTGAGAAACCGAAAACCCCAGGCGTAAGTCCTTCAAATATATTTCAAGACGAAAATGTCATAACGTTTAACCTATACAAATTGTATATGTATGTACATTTTTGTCATGGGAAAAACTTAATGTTTAAATTTTTGATATTTTCCTCTTGAAGCCTGCGGGGTGATGAACATCAAGTTGGGACGTTCCCGATCACTTTGGTCTTGACAAACCGAAAAATCCAGGCATAACTTTTTCAAAGATAATTCAAAACATGCCAAAAAGTCCACTCTAAACAAACAAACAACTACATTAACCAAACATAAACCATTTAAACATTCACATCCTGTACAAAATGGTATATATGTATGTTTTCCTTGGAAAAACTTAATGTTTATATTTTGATATCTCATCTCTTGGATTATACACATTAACGCTCATAAATACATTCTGAACAGTAAACACAGCATCTATTGCTCACGAGCATAATTCTCATATTGGGTGGCATAACGTCTCGCTCTCTATATAGAGCCTAGGAGACACGGGATGGTTAGGGATGGTTCGACATGCAGTACCCGAAAGTGTCTGTCAACCGCGTATTGGCAATTTCGAATCGTGTGTCTCATCCTTCTTCTGCAGTTTAGACTCTCTTGGTAACTAACAAAAGCTATTGGACGAAAATTAAAGGAATAAAGTTAAATTTATTTTCAAAAAAATATATTTTAATGTAATATAAATAAATGATTTTCCAGTATCACACCACTTCTTTAGTTACTAATGCTGGTTTTATCTTTTCACAGGTGATTCGAGAATTTGACGATTGTGCAAATCAACATGTGAATCTTGTAGAGTGAAATGGAATGGAGGAAGGGGTATGTAAATCTAATTTTTCTTCTTGCATTGTGTAAGTGAAAATAAGATCAATTAAACCGTGAACATTCATGGCCAAGATTACGGCAGTTCTAGGTTGGATCATTACGCTTTAACCATGCCACTAGATCGGCAATGTCGCTGACAACATTTTAATCAAAAGTGTTTCAAGGTTCTGTTATTGCTCTATGATTGAATTGAACTGTAATCTGTTTGTGAGCATCCTATACATTTCCTATTATTCATATTCTTCGTTCTTCATATTGTTCTTGCGGTGTTATGTGGATCATGGAATGATTAGTATGACGTGTGATAAATCCAAACATTTTATTTGCTTTAGCAATAATTTAACCAATAGCTTGAAAGTTTATCTGGGTGTCAATAATGATACCAAGATCTTTAAATGTTTTCAGGTCAAGTTAAAGAGTCAGATACATGGTAGTTGATGATGATGATGATAAGGAAATACAGGGAAGCGGAGATTTTATATACCCCAAGCACTGTAGCCTTCTAATTGTACTTTTCCTAGTTCATTAGTTCGGTTTAATTGACTAGATCCTTATTGAAAGAAGTTGAAGGTCATTAGTTGAACTCGGGATTAAAACTTTTGGGCAGTGGAAATGGAGTCTGGTGTGTCGATGAAATTTATTAGTGTGGCAGTGTAAACTCCAAGGAAAATAGAGTACTCTTGAGTAGTTTGAATGAAGTCTGGTGTGTGAATGTAATTTATTAGCGTGAATGGATTGGCCTCCTTGCCAAATTTCTGCGAAGAATGTCACTCCATGAAGTCTGGTGTGTCGATGTAATGGATTAGTGCAAGTACGCTTGGAGCCTAATATTTTTCGGCCTAGTATCACCAAAAAAAAATTCGTTAAAATCTCTGTTACGAGAACATCCTGCTCATCTACACCAGTCCAATAGCTCCTCTCACCACCAAAAAACCAGTTACTAAGACAAAAACTTAGACTCTTCTCTATAATAGACGAAACGATTTACATCACCATTCTGAGACCTTTTTGGACTTAAGGCTGCGAACTTTGGGGTTCGACCAAACGTCCCAACCTCCGCTGTATCCAATCCTTACAATCCAAAATCCTCCGAACCATCATCGACGTGTACGATCCTACCATTCACAATGGCCCTTAGTATTCAATGTGTCCTTTAACATACAATACAAATACATATGTAAACATTTTTTAAGTTTTAATTGGAAGCAGCCCTCGGTTATACTCCTGTGCGTCCAACGTGAACTTAAATAAATAAATTTTAAATCCTGGAGGGAATTTAACAAATAAGGTTTTCAGAGCGTATGGTCACGTTTGAGCTGCAGTCTGTTTTTTAATTTATGGGCGGTGCCTTTGTTGGGAGAACGAGACAGGTACACAAGAAAGCGACCAGTGCTACTTTGAAATGTTGATCCCGTCAGTCGTCATTCTTGAAGGGTTTTTGCACAGTCCCCTTCTGAATTATGCATGTAGTCTTTCCGTTGTCTTTTTCTCCGAGTCTGCGGAATCCCGCTCGTTCCCTATTAAGGCGGATCTGCTCCCGGAGTACTTCTATGACAAATTGTAAACAACTCACGCTTCCTCTTAGATATCGTTTCGTTTCGAAAAATTTCCGACACTGTTCATCGGCAAGTGTTGTTGAAATTATTATTTTCATGGTCGTTTCTTCTTGAGTTCTGCAGAGTGACGAAAATTTAGTCATAGACATTAAATAAACAGTTATTATTTCAACAGTGACAACACTTGACTGAACATGAAACGAGCGCTTCTTCACGAGTTTTTAAAAAAGCAATTACAATGCTTATCAAGAACACTGTCGATAGGTGGCCCTCGGAGGATCTGACTCGTAGAAGAGGGTGACTTACCAGATTCAGAAAGCTTGGTAGACACACGGACAATTCTGGGCCAAAGCCCGCTTGTGTGTCTAGCACGTAAAGCAGGCTCGATGTGTCCCACCTGATTGAAGGGCCACCTTTTCTCCACATAGAGAACGCGTAAGAATGCCACCCGATATGAGAATCGGGCTAGAGCACGGCAGCATGTATGCGGGTCCCACATTCATATTTCTGGAGTAAACTGAGCTCGGAACGTCTCGGAAAACTGGTACTAGTCTGGGTACTTGCTGGAGGACGACGTGCGATCCGACTCGCTGACACCAAACGAGTAATAAAGAATATGAAAGAACTGAGTCGTCCGAGAAGCTCTTCCGCGTCGATAGATAGCTCCCCAGAGAGTCTAAACTTCAGAAGAAAGACATATTCGCCCGATTCAGAATGACTTTTGGTTCCGGTATGCAGAGAAAAGTTTCTCAATCACACATAACTGAAGGTGCCATTCCTTAGCTTATATAGAGAGCCTGTAGGAATGACACCCGTATGAGAATTCTGCTTGAACATGGCAACAAATATTTGATGTTCGGATTTTTAGAGGAAACAGAGCTATTTCACTGTACACAGTACTATATAGATGTCTTTTTTTTAATTCAGGATGAACGTATTTATTAGCGTGAATGTGTAGTATCAAACATCGCCCCATCGACCCTCAATTAGTTTAGTTACATATGTATAGAGTGGTTGAAAGTATCTGGGTAAATGGGATTTTAGGGTCAAGTAGATGAAAGGGAGGGTCTTTTTAAAGCTTCCAGAGTAGCCCCGAGTGTCATATCCGATCGTAAGACTTCACAAAGGAATGAAGAACACACGACATGGGTTTGCAGGATTCTGGCTGAAATGGGATGTTTATGAGATGACAGTATCATCCGCATAGAGGTAATTATCTGCGATATCTACTGTGGAGAGGACAGATCATAAGATAATTCCTTGGGGTACACCTGCATCTTTGGATTAGCCTGCTTATACAGAGGCGCCATTGATAGTATGCTGATAACTGATAACTTGAAAGTATCTGGTTAAGTAGGATTTTAGGAACAAGTAGATAAAAGGGAGTTTTTTAGCATCCATATTAGCCCCGAGTGTGATGCCCGATGCTTCAATTCATGAGCGAAGGATGGCGGTATCAATCGCGAAAGGGTAGGAATATATGCGGTGTATTTTATTATCACCATGTAGAGGATGATTCGTAATATACTTCCTTGGCGTACACCTACATCTGTGCGTTATCCTGCTGATCCAGAGGAACCACTGATGACATGAAAGCCACCCTTCGACCCTCAACTATATTAGTTATATATGTAGAGGGGTTGAAAGTATCTGGTTAAGTAGGATTTTAGGATCACGTAGGTAAAAGGGAGTGTTTACGGGTTTACTATTTTAATAAAAACCACTCGTATCAAAAACCAGTATTTTACTACTCATTACTATACATACATTAACATCACTCTACAACGTAACAGGTAATAATAAAACACTCATTAACCGCCAAGACCCAATCCGGGTTCTCCTATCAGTCTCAACCACTACGTCACATCTCGCAACAGGGAGGTCTTTTTTAAGCTTCCAAAATAGCCCGAAAGTTATACCTGATGGTAGGATTGCTTCACATAGAAATAAAAGACACATGAAGATGAGATGGATCGACCTGCTGTTGAACACCTTGGAAAAAGGATCTTCGGTGAGGTCACAATAAAACGACAATTCTTTAAGTTTTTGCTGAGCTTTCGATGCATGACATTGGTTTGCAGATTTCTAGATGAGCTTAAGGGATTGGGATGCCTGCGGTGTATACTTTGTAGAAGGTATGACTTAAAAATCTTCCTTGGAGTACCCCTGCATCTGTGCGATAGCAGGATTTTGTTTTTAAAGTATCTCTCAGTTAAGAAGGATTTTAGGGTCAATAAGAAGGTAATAGAGAGAACACTGAGCTTCCAGAGTAGCACTCAGTACAACCGATTGAAAGCTTGCTTCACATCTACTAATACATCTACAACGTGCCGGTACTGCAATAACCGAATAGCGGAATGAGAACGTCTAAACCCAAACTGGTGGTCAGGTGTTTTTCTAGGATTATGTCCATTTTTAGACTAATTGGGAAGTAGGATGATGGAAGGTTATGAAGCTTTTTAGGCCTTGTATCCGGATGAGGGAAAAATTCCATTGGGTGCTAAAGATACAATTGTGCATGTAGGTAGGGAAAACGTACAGCAGTTTTAGGAAAGTGTTGAAGGATTGTTGCAGTAGCACAGAAGCTTTCTGTAGTGGTAGATAGCTTTTGTACTTCACTGTGTGAAAATGGTTTTGATGGATGGGAGAGCGGTAGAGACGTTAGGTCTTCTTCTTTAAGTCATGTGTATAGTTATATATAGCAATTACTACAATTACTGAAACTTACTTTTTTAAATTTTATTGTTAACAGCTGGTAGTTGGGTACAAGACAAAAACCAAGAATACCTGGCCGTTTACTCATCCACCAACTGTTAAAATCCACGTGCATAAGTGCGTAAATGAATTTTACCGATTCTTTTTATACTTTTTATGAGCATTCAAAACGTGTTCATTTCACGTAATCGAATAATTAATTAATAATGAAAGAGAGTAAATAGAGGAAAGTCTACAATTAAAGGAAATTCTAAATGCAGTTGGTATAAAACTGAATTACTGACAAGAAATTGCGATCCCGAAAATTGGAGCACATTTTCTTGTTTTAGAAAAATGAAGGCTAAAGGAATCGATCTGAGGCAGACAATTTATTTTTACTTGTTTTGTTTATGACAGCTAGAAATGTGAGAAGGCGGTATTGAATGGTGAAACAATAGCATTTCCACCCACAAAACCCTCTCCATTCAGTCTCCCACCTTGGGCGGATGCAATTCCAAATAACTCAGCATATATTATGGCTTAATAATGGAATAATAATTGTCCCTTTGTTTGCCTCGTCACCCTTTCGGATTTCTTAGTATTTCATTAATAATATTTATCGATAGGACGCATCGGACGTCTCTCTCCTAAAGAACAAAAATTTTCCCTCCACAATTACGTTTATATTATTTTAAAATTTATTTAATCAATTGCATATATATCTAAACCTATTTTTCGAACTATTGTGACATTCCATTTTTACATACGGTGTTCAAATAAATTGTTGGTCCTCCCTCATGTCATGCATTTCCATTTCTCCCTTGGTCAGCTTTTTAAATTTATTTAATGACTTTACATTTGTATTAATTATTTGTAATTTGTTCGTTACTGATCATTTTGGCCTGTCAGACTAGTTTCGTCACGCCATCTTCAATGGTGGGTTTGTTTGTTTTTAATCAAGTTTTTAATTAATTTTAATACCTAAAACATGGCACAAATGAAGATTGACAAACGTGTGAAATGCAGAGAGGGTAGGCATTTCTCTTTTCCTCTTCTTGGGTTATTTTCTAATTTGGTTGTTAAGGATGTTATTTTCTTTATATTTCATGTTTTTTTTGTGTTTTTTTTAATGACCTGTCAGCCAATTTTTTATATTTTTATTTGCAAGTGCATTTTCGAACATTTTTTTTGGTTTGTAAATTTTATGTTGTTGATTTCTTCTCATCTTGTCTGCCTACAGTGTATATGTATTTCTTCATTCTCTACTCCTCTTTCTACTTTGTTTTCTATTTTCTTTATGTTTCTGGGTTTTTGTAAGCAATTTCAATCAGTTGGTATTATATTTTTATTTGCAAATGCATTTTTATGTCCTAATTTCTTTTGTCTACTTATTAGGCTTTGTTCATTTTATAGTGTTTATTTCTTCCGTACTTGTCTATTCCATATATCCCTTTCTTTTTCTCTTCTCCTCTCCTTTGGTTCTTAACTGTATACTTCGTTTATTGATTCTTCTTTTATGAAATATTTATCAGTTTTTAATTATATTTTTATTTGTAAACTTTTGTCCTATTTTTTTTCTGGTCTGATCACATCAGATTTTTTTAAAAATTTTTATTGTTGATTTCTTCTATTCTAGTCTACAATATATATTCCTTTCTTCTTTCTCTCCTCCTTTTCATTGATTGTTTTCTGTTTTCTGTGTTTCTTAGGTTGGTTAATGAACTATAAACCAGTTATTATATTTTTATTTGCAATTACATTTTCAGGTCTTGATTTTCATCTAGTTTACTTATTAGGCTTTCCTCATTTTAGATTGCTCATTTTTCCATTCTTGTCTATTCTGTATGGCCATTTCCCCTTTCTTTCCTCCTCTTCTTTGGTTGTTTTCTATTTTCATAATGTTTCTTGGGTTTTGCAATGTATTTTCAATCAGTTTGTTATTATATTTTTATTTGCAAATACATTTTCAGGTCTCGATTTTTTTCTAGTTTTCTTATTAGGCATTGCTCATTTCTTCCATTCTTGTCTATCGTGTATACTCATTTCCCCTCTCTTTCCTCCTCTTCTTTGGTTGTTTTCTATTTTTTTAATGTTTCTTGGGTTTTGTAATGCATTTTCAATCAGTTTGTTATTATATTTTTATTTGCAAATACATTTTCAGGTCTTGATTTTTTTCTAGTTTTCTTATTAGGCTTTGCTCATTTCTTCCATTCTTGTCTATTCTGTATGGCCATTTCCCCTTTCTTTCCTCCTCTTCTTTGGTTGTTTTCTATTATCTTATAGTTTCTTGGGTTTTGTAATGCAATTTCAATCAGTTTATTATTATTTTTTTATTTGCAAATACATTTTCAGGTCTTGATTTTTTTCTAGTTTTCTAATTAGGCATTGCTTATTTCTTCCTTTCTTGTCTATCATGTATACCCATTTCCCATTTCTTTCCTCCTCTTCTTTGGTTGTTTTCTATTTTCTTAACTTTTCTTGGGTTTTCGTAATGTACTATCAACCAGTTTGTTATTATTTTTTTATTTGCAAATATATTTTCAGGCCCTAATTTTTTTTTGATCCAATCAACAGGCTTTGTCCGTTTCTGTTCTTCTTTGGTTGTTTTCTATTTTCTTTATATTTTGTGTGTTTTTTTCTAATATAACAGATTATTATTATATTTTTATTTCCGTTAACAAAATGTTGTATTAACAAAATGTAACAACGCCACATGGCTGACCACTTGCCCATTGATATTTCATGATTATAATGAATTAATCCATGTATGTTTAGTAGTCATAATTGACTTTAGTAATTATTTTAATTAATTATATTTTTTATCCACGGTCTTGGTTAAGATGAAAAAGCTAATGTCATGAGCGGGATTCCGCTTCGATAAAATATATAATTAATTATAATAAATAATACATCCCAATTATTATGTACACTGCCTATTATTTATATAACAATAATTATTTTTAGAATGAAGATTGTTGTGCTTTTTATAATTTTATTGGCGAAGACCATAAAATCAGCAGAGAATTGGGAATGTCCTCAAGTGAGAAATGTTTCTTGTATGTGTGACCTTCCAAGGACATTACGCTGTACAGGGACAAATGGTGCTTTGCCTTTAATCGCTCGCACACTGAGGAAACTTAAATTTCCCAATACGGTGTCACTCTTAGATTGCACTATACAAAATCTCAGTTCTATTCAGAGCCCTGTATTTCAGGTTAGCAAGAAAGAAAAAAATGTATTTGTTACTTTGTTTTGTAAGTTTATTATTTCTCTTTACAGGGTGTTTCATTACTCGGCCTGGTGTTATCTTCTGGAGAAATTACAACTTTAATCGATAATGCCTTCATTGGACTGACTTCTCCACTTCATGCTTTGGGGCTTCCGGACAATAAACTTAAAACTATCCCCATTAAAGCGATTGAAAAACTAAAGGCCTTGACTAGATTGGACTTGTCGTATAATGAAATAGAAACTTTATCTGATATGAGTTTGAAGGTAATGAGTTTTTATTTTGTTTAAATTAATAAAAAATTTGTTAATGATACAATTTATTTCAGGGACTTCACTCATTAAAATTTTTGGATTTGACTGGAAATAGAGTGACTAAAATAAGCCCACTTGGATTTTCTAATTTAAACAAGTTGGAAGTTTTGAGATTAAAATTAAACAACATTGATATAATCAAAATGAAAAATATCAATGGCCTAGTGAACTTAAAAGAAATAGATCTGAGTAATAACCAATTGGCAGGGCCGTTGAGTGATGGTATATTTCCTCTTTTTCCAAAACTCCAGAATCTAAACTTGGGATATAATCAACTAAGCAGCGTTACTAAAAGAGCATTGGCAGGCCACAGCCACCTTGAAACTCTCATATTGAAACATAATTTGATCGATGTCTTAGAAGATCATGCTTTCGAATCAATACCGACACTCAAAACCCTTGACTTGGCGCACAATCGGATAGTCACTGTCGCTGAAGCATCGTTAGCACACTTGCCTAATTTAAAATCACTCGACGTTTCAAACAATTTTCTCCGAGCTATAACACCTGATCTGGTGAGATCACTGACAGGTTTAGAGGAATTAAAACTTGATGATAATGATATATCGATGATAACTAATGGCGTACTTGCACCGCTAAATTTAAAAGAAATTTCATTAGCAGGTATTCAACAGGTTGACAATGTTATGTAATGTTATGTTTGTAAACATTCCATGAAAACTAAATTTGTTATTATTTTTAGACAATCCTCTTAACTGCGATTGCAATCTGAAAGATTTTGCAGATTGGTTGAAAAAATCTAATGTTACAAAAGAGAGTAAATCATCAGCAGTTTGCGCAACACCGCCTTCCTTGGAGAACGGATTGGTAGATGATTTGAAGGCGCAAGATTTCATTTGTGATGGAAACGACGAATTTGATTTCGACATGAGCAATCATCCAGTATCCAGGTCAAAAATAATTTATCTTGGATACAATTTTGATGGAACGAAATTGTCCTTGATGTGGAACTTAAATCATGTGCTTTCATACACATGTTACGCTTTACTCATGTATGAAGAACTCGGCAATCATGAAATTTTATTGGAAAGCAATCGTCTTCGATGCAATTCAAACACGATGAAAGATCCTACTAATTTGGTAGTCGGATTAGATGCTCCCCATTTGCAAATAGGTAAGCCTTTTTCCTGTACTCATTTTTATCATGAATATAATTTAATTTGTACCTATTTTATAGGTCACCGATATAGATATAGCCTTGTTTTAATCGAAAAAAACCTAAGGAATGAGACATACCGTTTAATTGGCAGAAGCGATGTCTCTTTACTTCAGAAGAATATGTCACAAATTCTGTCATTAACTGCAAACGTAACATCACCAGGGACAATATTTATAAACACTAACATTTGGCCACAAAATGAAAACTGTTTCGTCACTTTACATATAATGACTCTGTCGAAAACTCTCCAGCAAATGAATTTAAACTGTTCATTTAGAAAGCTAACAGTCAAAGAGGTAGAAGACAGAGGCCCTTACAAAATATGCGCAGTTTTATCAAATAATCTAGGCCGTTGTGTTTGGGTCAATTCTGTCTCAGAGTTCCATAGATTTCTTTATCCTTCGGCAATAATGGCAACTTTTCTCTTGTCGCTCGCCATCCTGGCTTTGCTAATTTTAGCTTATAAAAAGATATACAGGAAAGTTCGACAGAAAATCACCCCAAACATGGCGCACGATCTACTATATGCAAGATATACAAAACTTCTAGGGACTACACGATTATAGAACATTTTGTACATAAATTAATTCATGTTACATACTACCAAAGGTTCTTAAATTATTCACTTCTGTATTTCTCTTTGAAACCGTATTCTGCACAACTAAAACTTTAAAAAAATTTCCTCTCAATTTCTTTAAAAAAAACTATATACCAGATATGATTTCACGTCTAGTGAAAGATTTCTTTTTTTTCTAGTTAATATGTAGTACATATCCTAGTCATCGAATATGTTCCTTTTACGTTTAAAAAAAAATTGAAAAACATATTGTGCCATGATTACTTTAACTAGTTTAACTTTTATTGTCTTGCTTTTAACTTTTATCACGCTAAATATAATGTAAGCTATGTGAAACCTTAGTATACAAAATTGTCATTTCATCAGCAGAAAATCAAATTATATACTTGCAATTTTTTTCTGTATTAACAGGATTGTAACTATAAATTTAAAAGAAACATCATTTTAAAAGAAAAACGTCTTTTAAAATCTTAATGTAATATAAATGATAATACACCGTTGAATTAACTTGAACTTGCTACCACTTATATGTAAATACAAAAATTAAAATATTATATTGATTCTGTGTCGTATGAAATGGCAAGCACACAAAATCATTGTGTATGATGGAAACTCTGTGATGAATCATTCTGACCATAATGAATATATACATGATTAAAAATTTGACTTTTTGTAAATACTAATACTTGAATCTGTAAATATATTTATAAAGAAATTTACAAAAAAAAAAAAGGTGTGAAAAAGTGTATAGTAATGTATAATATAGAAATTTACAGATGTATCTTGTTACGATAGTGTACTTCACTAACCCAGTTGATATACAAATTAAAAGGATTGTTTTGCCTAATTTTGTATTGTTTAACTTTTTTTATTTATTTACCTAATAAGTACAGAGTGTGCGGTTTGACTTATCACAGCTTCATTATCTGAACAAAGCAAAAAATTACACCTTTTCGGTTAGTTACATTCACACTAATAAATAGAGTATTAATATACACAAATAATAAACACAAGATGGTGTATTTATTACTGTATACAGTAAAACAATTGTTTTCTTTAAAAATTTGAACAGGGAACTCAGGTACCCGCTGCTGTGCTCAAACATGTTTCTCATATCGAGTGGCTTTCCTACTAGCTCTCTATATGGAGCCAAGGAATGGCACCCTTCAATTAGGTTTCATTTTGGCTCAGAACCAGAAAAGGTCGAGCGGGTTTCTAACTCCAGATTTTGCATATGAACAGAGAATTCCCACTGTTCAATCATCTGTATGTCTCATGATCTCCTGATGAAAAGTTACACCTATTCTGTTCACAAAAAGGTTGTTTCTTGGTCAAGGCAAGTAATACTCATTGCAGTTGGCTTGAGTAGATTTCTGTGGTGATGGTCACACCATGTGGCAGTTTGTCGAGCACAATGCCTGCCATGTACTTCACCAAACACAAAGCATTACCTTTTCTTGGTGAGTATTAGATTTTCATGTCATTTGGTGAAAGCAACAACCTCCTGGTGTTACTCTACTTTGTGCGATGAAAGCAACGAAAGGCAAATGTTTAAATGCAGAAGTGTATTACTGCTGCTCGATTTATGAGGAACATATTTTCTCAGCTTCTGCTTCTTTACATGTTGATCCAAGCTAACAGCAAATTGTTTCATCACTTTTTCTTTAGGAACTTATATGCAACAATTACCAAACGCTCATCTCTGCTCACACATGCACACATACACTAATACAATCACCCACTTTGGATTTTGGCAGTCCGAGGTCAGGCCTCGTCTTATCTACCCCACCAGTGAGGTTAAGCTCCAGGGGATGTCAACAGTTAGGTTATGTCCACCCAAATGCATGTTCTGAAATATATTCTTTCCTATTTATATACCAGTTACTACTTCGGCTTGATACGCCGCTGCTCTCCTGGGAAGTTGATGTCCGAGTGGATCGAGGCCACGATAGCTCAAGTGGTAGAGCAGCAGCGTATCAAGCCGAAGATCATGGGTTCGAATCCCGCTCGTGCCATTGACTTTTTTATCTCAACTGAAAACCTTAATTAATGGTAATATATTAATTGGTCAAGCGGACCACGAAACTAGTGAATTGAAATTACCAAAAGCTCATTTCAGCACACACATGCACATACATTCACATATATAATCATCCACTTTAGATTTGGCAGTCCGAGGTCAGGCCTCATCTTATCTGCCTCACCAGTGAAGTTAAGTTCCAGGGATGTCAACAGCTAGGTCATGTCCACCCAAATGCATGTTCTTAAATATATTCTTTCCTATTTATATTCCATTTACTCAATAGGGTGATGTGCTGGATATTCCTTCATCAACCTATTTGTATACCATATAACTACTTTCACACAAATAAATACATTCATTTCCAATGTACTTGATATTCCTCCATCAACCTATTTGTATATCATAGAACTACTTTAAAGGACTAAAAAATTATGTACAATGGTGTTCGTTGAAGCACTTGAGATGCAGTCCAATATTTGTTTTACACCATTGCAACAACCTGGACAGTAAAAGCGCATTCTCACTTTATTACCTTGCCCTTTAGCTATTTTGCTGCAATTTATCACACAATAGCTGTACAATTTAACGATTTCTCCTTTTCATCAGTTTTAACCTTGTCAGTTCATCCCCCATATGTTGAAGATAAGTGGAAAAAGGACACTTTAGATGGGATAGTTATGGTATTCCCTAAACACCAGAGACTATATCATGTCCTGTTGGCAGTTATCTTTCTTCTGTCCGACTGGCAATAACTATTGAAAAAGAAATAGCTATTCATGGGTAGCAAATGAAAAAGATGAAAGGCTAACTTTTTGCACCATTTCAGACATTTGCAATAAGCTCTGAATAAGATTCCATTTTCAAAGATTAGCAAATTCTAATTTAAATTTTATTTGAATCCTGAAAAAATAGAATTACTTTTACTTAATTACTACAATTTAATTATTTATCTTTATAATAACCGTCAGTGGCTGCAAAGGTTTAGGCTTTGACTCGGCACTCGTCATTGTAAGTTAAAAGCCCCAGATTCAATCCAGCAGCCCTGCATTTGAACCCAACATTCTTACAATTTTTTTTTTTAAACACCCGCACCTCTGATTGATATGAATTGCTATTGCAAACCAATGTAAAAAAACCTAATTTATTTAAAAATTATATATCAATAAAGAGAACAGTAGTTCAAGGGAACACCAAATTGTTAAACTTTCTTTTCAGAATGCTGAAAATCACAAAATATCCACCAATTCTGTAATCATATTTAATGTGAAAATAATCAAATCTAACCTTTAAAAAGCAAAACAGTTGAAAAGAATAAAATGAAACAACTTCACAGCTAATTTTCTACTACATCAATGAAACTTACAGTAACGTGGTGCATAACATTTGAAAACCGATTTCACATTGTATATAAAGTTTAAATCCGTAAAGGTGGGGAAAAGTAATATCCACTAGAAAATGGTGTATCAAAAAATGGCCTGGCTTTCAAAGACAAGTCAGGTCTCATGTGGGACCCGCTGCCCTGAATGAGGTCAAGTGGGAAAAATCAAGATTTCTCTACATGCCGGATGCGTGCTTTGGCTCGAAAGTATCCGTGTGTCGATCTCGCATAGCCTCTTTTTAATCAGGTGAAATGAGATACATTTCCTTAAGTGAGATATATTTATCACATTACATATTTTGTATAGTACAAAAGGAACTTTACACAGACAAATATAAAAATTCACATTCAATCAATATACATGTGTCTTGATTTTTCTCTAAAAAAAAAGCATTGTTACAGAAATCTCTAAGGGATTTTTTTTTCTTAAATAGTATAAATGATTTATAATATTACATACCTCATACAAATCACTAGAACTAAACAAAAATATATCAAACACATATTAATACGGTAAAACAATATAAAGAAAGTTCTAGCATCAATAACAGAGTTTAACCTTTAAGTCTGCACTCACACTCAGTGTGCCATTGGGTAAAACTTGCTTATGACATATTTTAATCAACAAGATGTGAAGACTTAAGGGTTAAAAAGTAGATTTTGAATGGTAACAAAATTTAAAAAAAAATTAATTCTTTAGAGTATTAATTGTTTAAACTTTTACAGCAGCATCGAGTTCTAGTTGTACAATTGTTGATGTATTTGAACTTGAATTTGTTAAAATCCAAAGAGTACAACAAATAAGAAAGATGCAGTCGAAATTTTAAACTTTTACATTTAAACTCTTGACTAAAATAAAAGGCAAACACTCCTGTTCAAATGATTAAAACAAAATATCTTTTATTGTTCCCCAAATTCCTTGATAACCTAAATTCAGTCCATTTTTCCAAGTACTCTCGAGAAAGTATGCTAATAAAAACCTCTACCTTTCATTAGTAATTATTTTCAAAATCATCGACCAGACAATTCAACAATACAAAAACATCACACTTTCCCTTGATAATAAAACAAATAAGTCTAAAAAGCAAAAACGAATTTACTGAAGAATCTTCAACAATGAGGAATTTTGTGTTTAAAATTGATAAAATATATTTTCACACTAAAAAGCGACGACTAATTACTACTATAAAAAAACACCAAACACTACAAAACACAAAAAGCAACAAGGTAACCAATATTTTTTAGTTACAAAACTAAAAATATTACAAAGTCAGCCTACTAAAAAGTAATTACATTCTATGCTGATAAGCAACTCACATTACCAGTGAAGTTAAGACCCCCAATTAGCAATTACTTATTATATATGACATAATAATAAACTTAAGAAGATGAAAAATTGATCCACAACAAAAAAAGAATTTCAAATTATTCATCATTTATGCGTATACAAATATGAAAATAAAGGACTAATCTTCATGAGTGTCTAGTTTTGTTAGATTACAATTAAACTAACTAAATTTGTTGTAGATTTGCCTATTTATCTGTATCAATTTTCTAATTAATTACAAAATAAAAATATGAATTGGTGCTAGTGACATATTGTTGGCGTTATTAAAAGCGAATGCATAAGTTCAATCAATACACTACATTTAAAAAAAGCAATAATTCTAATAAATCAATTAAAACAAAGGAAATAATGATGAATAACACAAAACAACTAGGAAAAAATGACAAACTGAGTTTGAACTAAATACTAAATTCAAAATCACAGTTACTTAAAATTGGCCCAACAAACATCAATTGTAGATTCTCCAGTTAATATTCCTTGTAAGAAAGAATATTTATCAGGATGAAATATATTACCAAACAGTAGAAAAAAAGAAGGCTATTGGCTTAATTTCAACAAAAAGTAACTCCTTGGCACAACTTGCGCTTATTTTACTTTAACACATTTTCAATTTTCAGGGGGAAATAAGTTGTCAATTGTATCTAGCCTTAATGGTAGACAATCTGTTGAGCAAAATATTGTTCTATGTGGGCTTCCTGAGTATGTTTAGCTAGAGATGTAGACAGAACCAAATGTGAAAAGTTTCTATCTACATCTTCGTTATGTCCTTCGTGAAGGAGTACTATATGTCTAATACCTAACAGTAAAGTTAAAAAAAAAAATTTAATGCTGAAACTGTTCTTAAGAAAGACCATATAGCGCTACTGGAAGACTCAAAAGTTATATATAATATAAACACATTGAACATATTGCATAATAAGAATCTAGGATAAAAAACTAGAGAGACCATAAGCTAACGTAAAATAAGGTGAGATGATACTAAATTAAAGAAGACCAGACACCAAAAATGGTTTATATAAACAAAAAATGTAAATAACATAAACCATTAGACATTTAAGTTTTAAATCCCCTTTAAATTCTAAAAAAAATCATAATTGCATAACACATGATAATTAGAAAGACTTATCATCATTGATCTTTGTAGAACAATTTTATGTATTTGTTTAATGTAAATGGTGAAATATTTGATTTCAAAATTGTCACAGGAAGCACACAGCATAATATTTTAGTAGACTAAAAAATTCTTAAAACTTTTTTGCTAATTAGATTATTAATTATATTTGACTAACATGTAAAAATCACTTTTACAAAAGTATTATCAATTCCGTACAAAATTATACAAACTTCGATCTTAGAATTTATATAAGTAGACAAGCTAAGACACTGACTAGTCATACAATCTATTCTCACACCAAACCCATACAACATCCAATTCAGTCTTATTTAGGAATATACGTTAGGCCACACAATTTCCAAAGAATTCAAAGTACATACATAGTATACAAATAATAATAAATTTGTTTCGTTTCATTGCGCAAAATATTGTAATAATTCTATTATCATTTGAGCAGTCTGATGCTTCATCACCACCCACAGACAAAAAGCTATTTTTAGTCAGAAAAGATACATTATGTAATCAGTAGCACAATATTTTGACAAATATGCAGTGATCTCGTATTTTTGATCAAATCATTAATACATAAAAATAATATAAAAAAATAATAATAAAAACTATGGAATGACAGGAATTTTTTCAAGCCTTTTGACGTTCGAATTTCTATATTGTATAAATTCTTTTCTATAGAAAAACTTTTGTCAACATGCTGCTTCAAATTACACAGAATCATCTGTCCATAATTATTTCTATTGAAACAACGTTTTAAATTAATAGAATAATGAAGGTGGGGCGGATATGGGTATGAATTTTTCCAAAAGATATTACAAACAGTTTGTAAATGTGTTGTTTCTACAAGCTGTGAGTAAGAACTAGCTTTTGGAAAGACACTTTTTTTAATTTGTTTCAAAAAGTTAGCTTCGATTGAATAATTTTATATGACAACGACCCAACGACAGCCTTACACTTTAACTGCTGTTATATCATTTACAAAAATGAAATACATGTGACAATTAGTAATTAAAATTTTTACATAAATCATATTTGTTCCGTTCTTCATTATAACTTCTCAGTTTCAAAATATTGGTTGATATATTTCATTCATTTAAGTGTAAACAAATTAAACGACTTTTGTTTTTTTTAAATCACAAAACTTTTACAAATTTTGAACATAAAGAAAAATGGAGTCGATATAAGAATGTTCAGTATAAAGTATGCAATATTCTGTATAATAAATCAACATAAAACCATTCAAAAAAAAAAAAAATGTATATATAATATGTGTAAAGAGAAAAACTCCGATTTGTTTACTAGCTCATAAACTATCGAAATATTTATTTTAGTAATCTAGCTATTATGATTTTTGATGATTTTTTAAATTAATTTAATTTAATAACATTTCATTTTAAAAATCAACGAAATTATTTAAAAAAATCACTAAAATTGCGTTCATTAATATCACTCATTGCTGCAGACCTTAGTTTGTGCCAATAAATAAATTTAGAGGTACAAGATCAATTTAAATAATACATTTGTTTGTAATAATAGAATAGATATTGATATACAGCTTTTCCCCTCAATTTAGCCCTTTTTTACCCCAAATTACCATTTTAATTTCAAACCAACCCTTTTTAACTCCAAATAATTCTTTTTAATTTCAAATTAACTCTTCAAACTCCATTTTAACTCTTAATTTTAAATTAACCCTTTTTTAACTTCAAATTAATCCTTTTTAATTTCAAATTACCTTTTTTAACTTCCAATTAACCATTTTTAATTTCAGATTACCCCTTGTTCACTTCAAATTAATCCTTTTTGATTTCAAATGGACTCTTTTTTAACTTCCAATTAACCATTGTTAATTTCAGATTAACCCTTCTTTTAAAGCATTAAAAAACTTAGATGATATGAAATGTAAGCATATAAAGGATGTAATTTTAATTCCTGTATATTTGCGGATTTTGGTGCAAATATAATATAGTTGAACTCTTACAAAGTCATATGAAAATTAATTACAATTAATATTAAGTTAAAAAAATTGAATATAAAAAATATCCTTTTATTAATTCAAGGGGTTTTTAAATACAAAATCTATAAAATAATTATTTTACGTTTAAAAAAAATCTCTCAAATTATTAGAAGAATCATTTTATACGTTTTGGAAAATTTTCAAACTGAAGAATCCTTTATTTTTATGTTTAATCGTATATTGTTTTAAATAAATATTTTAATTGTAATTACTGTTCATATGGTATTTTATAAAAGAGCACAACATTTCTTTTTTCTTTTCTTTTAAATAAATTATAAAACCGATCAACCGCTTTGGGTCATTTTCCACCTTAAAAAGCTCTCCGGCTGTTGCATGTGTCACCAGGACACCTTTTCATTTTAGTTGAACAAAATACTCACCCCACTTTTATCGTTGCTATTAATTTGCTAGTCAGAGCACCATATTTTTATTTTAAACATATGTGTGTATTTATCTCGAGTTAAGTCATTTCATTCTCAATTCAATGATTTACATTTTATAATATTATACATATTATATTGAATATTTATTTGTAATTAATTTTCATAGGTCATGAGAGCCCAGTTATTTTATATTTAAACAAAAATCACATGTACTTTACATTTTTACAATTACTTTTTACTTTACAAGTTTACATTTCATACCATCTCCTAAGTTTTTATTGCTTTAAAGAAAAAGTTAATCTGAAATTAAGAAGGGTTAATTTGAAGTTAAAAAGGGTTAATTTAATAGAAAAAAAGTTATACATTCAAGCAATTTTGGGTAAACAAATTTTTATGTTCTTTTAGGTAGATGTCAAATGGGACACCAAAAAATTTATGTATCTATATCATAGGTATGTTTAAAAATTATACGTTTCCAGAATGTTGCATACATAACAAAATGTTTTGTTCTTTTAAAAAAATTATCAAACTGATGTTTCATTGTTGTCTTTATTATTTATCTCACTATCCTCTCGTTTTTCTCTAACTTTGTTTTCAAACAACTCCCGGCTCTTTTCCTGCGTTTTGTTCCTAACGGGAGTACCTCTAGGACTCAGCTTTCTACTCGGACCGTAACTCTTCAAAAGTCGAGCGCTGGAAAAAACAGAGTTCAGTGAACATTTTATATTGTAAAATACGGACAATTAATGACCCAAAAAGAAAAACACTTCAAAACTACAGTTTTAAAGTTATGCAAGAAAATCAACAACACTTACGCATCTAACAACTTGAGCAAAATACGAGAATACATTTGGTATTCTTCGTCACCAAATTCTGTAGGATCGTGCCTGGCGTGCTCATATAAATCACAGAATTGTTGAACCAATCTGTGACCGACTCCATTCAAAGGAGTTGCTAATGAGTTCAAAAGATATGCTCTAAGGTTGTCTGTAGGGTGTCTATGAAGGCTTGGATCTTGTTTTGTGATCTCCTTTTCTATAACAAAACCATTTGAAACATGCATAGAAACTTTTTAAATAGACTTAATTGTTTATTGGGCAGCAATTTTATTTTGACAAGCAAGGCATACAAATTTATCCGTTATTATGTAACAAAAATTAATTTCACTAATGTCTTATCTTCATTTTTATTTTCATGCTTACCTAGAAGTTTAACATCATCACAAGCTTTTAATCTGTAATAAAATGGAGCTACTTGTGAACCAGGTGGCAGAATATACCGTGAATCATTGTCATTCAGTACAGTAGGCTCATATACGATTTTTGGTACCAAATCTACCCTCCTGTGGATTTCTTTTTTCAGGTTCTACAAACAAAGGAAATATACAAATTAAATCTAAATAGTATTTACCAATTTTTCAATTAATTTAGTATTAAGCAGTACTGAAAGCCTTAGAACTTCAACTCAAGCTGGCCTGGTAATGCCTAAAATATCTCATGGAAAAACAAAATCAGGTAACTCTGATGTTGTCAAGCAGGGATTGAAGGCAAAGACATGCTGACAATCCAAAAACAGGAGCAGCCCTCATACCCTTTGGACCAGGACTGCAAATTAATGTGGATGGAGAAATGCCCTCATACTGGATGAATTCACCAGGTGCAAAACAATCAAATAAGTTACTCAAGATCTCAACCAAGAAGGCAAAAATTTCTCTTTCTCTCTCTCGTCAGGCAAAAATATAAAAAAATATGCCTTTATAACTCAATTACTACTTGAGAAAAAACAGGGGGAGGGAACTGAGACAGAAACCGTCCAACTCGTGAAACAGCACAGAAATCAGAATATGCCCTGCATGACCGTAAAGCATTAGCTTGGAAGCCACTTTGGAAAAGCGACATTTAAGAGAAAGCAAAGTGGATAAAGAAGGGTCAAAGTCCACAATATATCTTTTAGGTCATAGTGGAAGAAAGAGAGACTAAAGTCACCAGTGACTCAGGAAAGTAGGAAAAAATGAGGTGTACCCAATGTACATTTTTTTATTTGTACCCTATACATATTACAAATGTGATCACAATACATTTTTTCATACGGTCACAGCACTAATACTAAGACCAGCACCCGGAGGACACATGGCATAAGAAACCAGCCAATGCCGGCACTCAGTGTAAAGTATTAAAGGAGGTCTCAAGGCCATCATTGATTAAGGCAACATGATGGTTCTCATGACGGAAATGTATGGACAGTGCTTGATTAGGATGGATCGAGAGGTTGGTGTGAAACTTTTGGAATCAGGAATGGATTTGTTCATTATGGATGGTGACGTTAGTGAGATAGGAGCTTTGGCGATTTGTTTGAAGACTTTTGATAAGGATTAGATTGTTGGAAGGCTTGGCAGAACCCCAAAGTTCCACTCCATATATCCAAAATGGTTGAAATAATGTTAATTTAGTGTTGATGGTCAAGACAGATTTCGGTGCTACAAGTCTTCGTAGTTGCCCTTCTGTTAAGTTGTTGTCTCTTAAGTCTTGAGCGGAGACTCAAAATCAGTCTGTTGTCTAAGCATAGTCCTAAGTATTTGACTCGAATGGAAGTCCGTATCTCTTTGTTGATGATGTACAGTGGAGAGCAAGACTGTTTTTTCAATGTGAACGTAAATTGAGTACGTTTTTCTTCAATCAGCCATCCACTTTTTGCACCAGACTTCAGGAATAATAAAACATGTTTTTTTATAGACTATTATTACACATCGTCTTTCAATCAGAAGTCTCCAGAAAACAAGATATTACTTCATTTTTCCTCTATCAGGTCTTGTAATATGCCAGCATCAGGAAGTTCTCGTCTTAAATTTTCTTATTTGTTGCAATCATTGCATTATATTATCTTTGTGGTGACAATTATTCATCATGGCATTAGAATTTTCCCAGAAAGATCTGTGGTTGTGACAGTTCCAGGCCTTCTAGGGAAACATGGGTTTATGGGTTCTCCAATATTGTGGGTATACATTGCACGGTGCATAATCACATAAAGGGTCTCATTAGAACTACATATGCAAAGTGTTTTGCCATAGATATTCGTTAAAGTTACCATGTCCCGACAGTGTAGGGGCAAAAACCACAATGGCACAAAATTGTAGAAAGTGACTATTAATTAATGATTATTGATGCAGTCGGTTTGATCTTTATTGAGATCATCTTCAGGGCCTGGGATTTATAAACATTGTTTAAATTATACAAATACACGTAAGATGTGAAAATGAATTTATACAATGATGTACACAACATTGACATGATAAAGAAAATGTTTTTCTAAACCTACATCACAATCTCTAAATAGTGTAAAGTTATTATGATAAAAAAAACATTATATGACAAAATTGTATTATGTTAGTAACAGTACAGCAAAATAAACAAAAAAAAGGATTAAAGGTTTTAAGAGTATTTTCACAGTCCAGTTGCAAAAACATTTAAAATGTGATTATTTGTGTTATATTCGTCTCCACTTATTTAAAACGGTGTATACAGTTTTATATTATACTTAACATTTAACAAGATGTAAAAATATTGAAGGATTTATGATGTTCTGTATAATTGTTAGTGAAGATGTCTTATTAATAAATAAAATACACTCCAGCTCGAGTACACATCAAATTTCATCTTTCAAATAGATTCTCTATTTCTTGACTGTTTGACAAGAGGTGGGCCTTATTTGTCAAGGAATTTGATTATTTGTAACGTCTTCCATAGGTTACTTAAATTTAAAAAAAAAAGTGATAATGCTACCTTGCAGAATCTACACAGACATTAGAAGTTAATTTTTCTCAGATCTCCACTATTAATTGTAATTTAATCGTTTTGGTTTGTAGGTTTGGTCGGCCAGGCGCATTTTGAAGAAGATAGCTTCATGATTGTTTTTAATAATGGTTTATAATCTTCAATTGAATAGTTTATCTATTTCCACTTTTTCATTAGTTTTATGATGTTTTAAATATGTACAATTTAATTAAGAATTTTTAAAAATGAATATCAGCTCTTAATAATTTGGGTTTTGCTCTTTCCTCTTGATAATTCAAACATATTGTTAATTCCAACTCTTAACAATTCTATTTATCTTATTTTTTCGTCCCTTGGGTTTTGATAATCAAGAATATTCACTATTGCGGGTGTGTGATTTTTTTTTAAATAGGTTTCAAGAATATCAATTTTCCTCTTTTTTGTACATCAAGTAATTTTAAGCTCATCTCTTTGACAGCGGTATTGTGTAAGGTGAATTGCACAATTTGATTTATTATTCTTGTTCATCAGTCTCCTTATATTTTAATTACTTTTGTAATTTTATGTTTATTTGTTTTTTTTATTGTTAAATGTGTTGTTTTTACATTTCGAAGTTTTCTAACATGCTCAAACAAGCCATTTTTCTCTGTTTTGCACATGCTTGTTTGGATTTGTCCTTTGTTAAAAAATGTCATTTTTCGTTGTTTTGTCCGTTGTACTTGTCTCTGCACTTGCATATTTTGGATTAAGTCCTTTGTAAAAATAAAAAAAGTGCATAATGAAATGTATTAATTATTGCAAATTATGACATTTCTCCGTGATGAACCTGAAATTTAGTTGTTTTCGATCATTGTGATCTCCCTTTGGGTACTTCATCATCTTCAGTGTATTATTTTGTGTCTATGAATCTTTTACTGTTAAATATGGCATTTTTCTAGTAGGTTCATTTTATCATCCTTTTTATGTTGTGTGGTAATTTCATTCTTATCTGTAGTTTTGAGAGTTTGTGAATGTTTTCTGGAAGGCATGTGGTCTATTTATCATTTTTGACCTTGTAGAAACTTATATGTTCTTTCTGTATTTAATTTTCGTTCGTTTGCCCGAAGTAATTTTCTCCACACCTGCTGGGGACTGCAGTGCCAGTACTTAGGTTTTCCGACTAGCACTTGATACACTAGTGGTTCTGGGTTCAAATCCTGGCAGAGCCCATGGTTTTTAAATTGATAATGGTGTGAAAAATGTATTGTAAATTGGTTTGGCCACCTCATTCGCAACGCCCAACAGGATGTTGGACATTAAGCCCTCCTGTATGCCTTAACAAAATGACATAAATAATTGGAGAGGATTCATCACTGACTTCCTGAGTCCTGACCTTGTGGACTCTAAAAGACAGATTATCAGTAAATCCTCTCGTTGTGCTTTTGTTTTAAAGATACCCTTATTCGGAAGGTATCACCGGTAATAGTCTGGTACCATCTAGAGGGCAACCTCCAGACCTTACTATTGCGATCCGACCCACTGATTTTAACGAGCAGTAAAGAATATGGTAAAGAACTGGGAAGCTCTTTAGTGTGCCAATAGGTAACCCCTGAGTTTAAACTGTAGCAAAAGGATTGTATCTGATTCATAATTGGCCATACACGGTTGATGGACACTTACTCTTGAGTAAGGCATGCAGAGAAAGGTTGCTCAATGACCCAATATGAATTTTTTTTAATATTTAAAAGTTTCAGAATATATTTTTTGTATATCATGTAGTAGTTTCTTTTTTGTCTGTATTATTGAGGGCTTGTGGTTCTGATTTATGAGGTGAATCCTATTGCCCCTACATTATCATGTTGTTTGTTTTTTCTGTCTTTTATTTTAACTTTGTTTTGTACGTTACTTGTCTTCACATATACAGTGGTGGAGTAAGTACTCAATATTACTTTCCACCTTAACCCTCCATAACTAACCTAATTGAGGGTCGAAGGGACACTCGATCTTCCGCCATCTCACACTAATAAATACATTCACTCAAAACACAACTAACTTGTATATAGGTATGAATATATTTATTGGTGTGATTGTGTATCAAGTGTGTAGCGGTATTATGTTAGTGCTTTGGGGCTGAAATGACCAAGCTGTCGGATGCCCCTGTCAAAAAAAAAAAATCTGTTCAATGTAAACTGCTCAAAAATGAATAAGGGTACTGCCAATTTTGTAGTATTTACTTTCCCTAGCATTTTTGTTTTATTTTTATTATAAATTGCTATAATAAAAAAGCTATAATAAATTAAAATTTATTAGAAATTATTGTTTTTTACTGAAGGAAAATTTAATTAAGGGATTTTGAAATTTTATTTTCTTTGATTTTGTTTGTTATACCAGTCTCCACACTCAGTTAGGATAGAGGAGTACTCGACATTCTGCCATTTCACACTACATATTCACACTAATAAACACAGTCACTCTTAACACACACTACAAATACATAAAACAGTACATATATCACCAATACACAATAAATTATCTTAAATATTCTTTATTTCTGTATTTTAATTTCTGTCTCCTGTGTTATGGTAGGTTGGTTTTATCCTTGTAGTTTTTCATTGTATTCATGGTCTTCAGTGTTGTTTTAATTTCCAATTTGTTGAATAGATTTTCTTTGTATGTTTCATTGTGTGAATGTGGTCAATTTAATGTACGTTGTCTTTCCTTGATTGTTTTTTAGTCATTTCTTATCATTTAAGTCTGCCTATCCTTGCTTCGGATTGTCAAGTTGATTTAGGCATCTCGCCATCGTATAAACATATCGTGCTGGGTGACCACAAGAATAAATCTCAGTTTTCTTTACTAGTTTTTATGATTTTTTAGTACATTTTTATATTTCTCATGAATCAATGGTAAGTTTTTAGTATGCATTTGAGTTGTGTCTGGGACTGAGTTTGCAGTTATGGCGTGTCAGATGTAAGTTTTTGTCTTAGGTCAAGGAAGTCTGTTCAGTTCAGCTTTTGCATTGAATCTTTTGCTTTTATTTCAGTTTAGTTCAGGTTGACTTATTTCAGAGAATATTTTGTTTGTTCGATATTGTACAAGTGCTGTTTGGGATTTTCGATTTCAGAAAGATTGATATGTTTACCTTTTTAGCGCCGTGTCCAATAGGCAAATGCGGCCCTCGCCTCGATCTCAGGGCAAACCTCATAATCTGCCTTTTGGCAAATATGAACAAAAGGATAAAAGTCAAAATCCCCAAGGCTATTATAATGACAACTGTCACGCCGGAAAGTTCCTCTGCCATTTCAGGGTTTTATCATATCACGGAGACGGGGAAAATGGAAAAAAATCCGGATGTATTCGAAATAGATTCAATTGAGAAAATCAAACAACACTCATCGATAAAAGCCTTCGTTATTTACATAACAACTGGACCTGACAACAACACAACTGACAGGAAACTGAAACCTCTTCGATTTCCGGGTCCGGCGTTCCGACTTACAAGATCGATATGTCAAACAGCCGTCGATTTCCGTCTTTAAGTTTTAAAAAGGGCCAAATCAACCCTTACATGTATTTGTCAGTAAATACAAAAATAAGTCAAATTAATAAACAAACTAACGAATCTTCAACAAATTAGGAACTAAAACAGCACAGAAGACTACGAATACTACCGCAAAAGTACAATGACAAAATCAACCAGCCATAAAACAGGAGACAAAAATGAGTAGGGCTATTTGTAATTTATTCTTACTGTATTAATTTTAATTGAATTAACCCATATACTTTTGTTAGCTGGATAAAACAAAATAGAAAATGTAAACCAAAAACAAATAAATGTTAATCCTCACTTTTAATATCGGATTTACTTAAGAATAGTAAACATGCTTAAACAAACTTAGAAATTTTTGCTTAATGATTATTTTCCCAGGTTGCTCCAAAAAGTTCTGATTTTTTATTTATATTTATTAAATAATGTGCCTTGCACCTAGTTTTAAACTACTAAACTGACGTTTATATATCTTTCATTGTAATTCAAGATTTAATTTATTTTGTGCAATTTCAGAACTATTTTTCACATTAATTAAGGTTTTTAGTTGAGATAAAAAAGTCAATGGCATGAGCGGGATTCGACCCACGATCTTCGGCTAGATACGCCGCTGCTCTACCACTTGAGCTATCGTGACCTCGTCAACCACACCTTTTGAATTTTGTTGAGATGGGAAGTTAGTGTCCAAGAGGATCGAGGTCACGATAGCTCAAGTGGAAGAGCAGCGGCGTATCTAGCCGAAGATCGTGGGTTCGAATCCCGCTCGTGCCATTGACTTTTTTATCTCAACTAAAAACCTTAATTAATTGTAAGATATTAATTGGTCATGCGACCACGAAACTAGTGAATTTAACTATTTTTAACAATGATCGCACAAAACAAGCAAAAAATTTTAAAGTCTTCCAATTAAACAAATTAAAACTTAAAGTTTTAGAATTTAGATATTGAAATGAAAAGAAATATCACAATTTCTTGCCTCATTTTATCTTTGAGAGTTGTATTTTTGGAAATATGGACTTTTGAAAGTAAATTTATAATTATGTACGAATGATTATTATTTAGTTTTTCAAGCCAAGAAGTAAAATGCGACAATTCAAGGAAGATCTGACAAAATAATTATTCTATTCAGAACTGCCAACTCTAATTGTCGTCATAAAAATATTAAATTTAAAAAAAGGGGGCGTCGGTGGCAGCAACGGTTTAGGCGTTGACATGGCGCTCATCACTGTGAGGTAAAGGACCCGGGTTCGAATCCAGCGGCTCTGCATTTTAACAAGACATACTTACAAATGGGAATTCAATTGGCAGCTAAAGCTTAAAATTACATGGCGTACAAGAAAAGAGAAAAAATGACATTTTTGAAATATACAAAAACAAAAGATTACGATAACTGGACATGACCAAACAGAAATCACACAGACTTTTCTAGTGAATATTCTTGATAATCAAAACCCAAGGGACCAAAAAAAATATAAATATAATTTTTAAGAGTTTGAATTATCAAGAGAAAAGAGCAAAACCCAAATTATTAAGAGTTAATATTCATTTTTAAAAAATCTACGGGTCGAATCGCGATATAAGGTCTGGAAGTTGCCCTCCAGCTGGTACCGGTTTTCTGAGAAGTTCCGACTCAGTGTATCTTTCAAACAAAAGCAAACGAGGGAATTTATTGATAATATGTCTTTCAGAGTCCACAAGGTACTCAGGAAGCCAGTCATGAATCCTCCCCAATTATTGATATGTCATTTTGTTAAGGCCTGTCATACAGGAGGACTTAATGTCCAACATCCTGTTGTGTGTTGCGGACGAGGTGGTAAAACCAATTTACAATACATTTTTCACACCATTATCAATTAAAACACCATGGGCTTCGAAGCCAATCACCAAAGACAATTCTAACCCAGAACCGCTAGCAAATACTAGTCGGAAAACCTAAATACTGGCACCGCAGTCCCCAGCAGATGTAGAGAAAATTACATCGGGCAAACGAACGAAAATAAAATACAGAAAGAACATATAAGTTTCTACAATGTCAAAAATGATAAACAGACCACATGCCTCCCAAAAACATTCACAAACTCTCAAAACTACAGATAAGAATGAAATTACCACACAACATAAAAAGGATGATAAAATGAACCTACTAGAAAACTTGGACATATATAAAATGCCATATTTAACAGTAAAAGATTCATAGACACAAGATAATACACTGAAGATGATGAAATGCCAATAGGGAGATCACAATGATCGAAATCGACTAAATTTCAGGTTCATCACTCCGCAGACATGGAGAAATCGCATAAATTGCAAGAACAGTAATAAATTTCATTAATGCAACCACAAGCCTTTCTCTTTAAACAGGGGTCTTAATCCATAATATGCGGAGAAAAGTAAGCAGTTGAGACAGGTGTACAATTGGTAACGGGCGTAATAGGCTGTTAGCAATTGAGACCCGACTACAACCGGTATGTTCTCCTTCTTCTTCATATTTCTTTTAGATAATCATTATGACCTTTTCCCATCTTTCTCTGTCCCAAGCTGCTTGGGATACTAGCGAAATCCTTATCTGTCTTTGACTTCATCTTTCCAAACTTATTTGTTCTTCCCATTTTCCTTTCTCCGTACCTCGGAGTGCATTCAGTGATGATTCGCCCATCTCGTGTCTATATGGCCTGGCCAGTTTCATTTTCAGGAATGTGCTTCCTTACGAGGATGGAAGTAGTATTTCTATTTATTTCTGTTGCCGACCTTGTCTTTCCGTTTTATCCCGAGGATGCTCTTTGTCATTTTTCTTTGGATGATTCCCAGTTTTTGGACCATCTTTTCCATCAGTGCCCATGTTTCTGTTCCGTATAGTACAACTGACCTACCCATTTAGTGAGATCTCTACCCTTCACTCTAGCTGGGAGAAGCTCAGTTTTACAACGTTTGTGAACAAGGGCTTTTCAGATAGGAGCTGGAATTCTTCAAGGAGAAGTCCTTTTTCCAATACTCTTTTCTGTTCAAGAAGATTTTGACACGAAGAACACAAGGTACGAGAGGGTTTAGTGTAAATCATAGAGAATTTTTTTTCAGTCTTATATGCTACAGTTGAAGTAAAGAAGTCGAGCTTGTTAATAAAATTAATTATCTATTTAACAACTACAACTTAACGCCCGTCTTCAGAGGTTAGTCTGCACACGCTAAACCAGGGAAAATAGCCAGAAAAGTTACCAGTTTTTAAACGCAAACGATTGTTCACCTTTGGTCCAGTTCTACTTAATTCCATTTTGAATCATTATTTCGAATTTATGAATTCACTTTTTATTTCCTGATCGTATGTACTTATCGGTTTTTTTAAAATATGATTAGAATAGAGTACTGTATTTAAATGAAGTATAAACAATGATCAGTCTTTTTTTGCATAATGACACGAGGGGTCATGGCCGCAACATGAAAACAGTTTAATCCTAATGGGACGGTTTATTTTCAACACTCTTTCAGCCTGAAAACCATACAGCAAAAATTGATATATTCAATTTTTCAATCTATCCATTTTCCTATTTTCAACGTAGGTGGGAGTTTGGTGTGGATGGCCATACAACCAAAGCTATGCAGACGATACTGTCATACTAGTTAAAAGAAAATTCGCTACAACATTGCCCAAAAAACATCGACCATGGCTCAAAGCTATCCCATCAAAAACCACACGAATTGAATTTATCAAGAAAACAAACAGAAAGAAGTTCATGTACATACAATGAAGTGCTGCAATTCAAAATGAGTTTAAATACATACGCATTATCTTTGACAAAGGCATTAACAAAGAAACCTTCACTTACAACACATAACCACGTGGTCATAAGAAGAACAGCAGGTAAATCTTGGGCAGCACTACAGAAAATAGCATATTGGTTATACACGGTAGTGAATAAAGCTTAACATATCCCATGCCGCAAACAATACTGAATAAACTGCCTTGTCCGACGTACGTCCTAAAGAGGAGTTCCACCCTCTTTAACTTCGAGTTGGAAAAAAATAATACCGAATGAACTGCCTTGTCGGACGATCGTCCAAGAAAGAAGTTCAAGCCTCTTTCATTTCGACTTGGAAGAAAATAACACCGAATGCACTACCTTGTCCGACGATCGTCCTAGAAAGAAGTTCACGCCTCTTTCACTTCGACTTGGAAAAAAAACCGAATGCACTACATTGTCCGACGATCGTCGTAGAAAGACGTTCAAGCCTCTTTCACTTCGACTTGGAAGAAAATAACACCGAATGCACTGCCTTGTCCGACGATCGTTCAAGCCTTGTCTGACGTTCGTCCTGGAGAGGAGTTCCAGCCTCTTTCACTTCGACTTGGAAAAAAATAATACCGAATGCACTGCCTTGTTCGACGTTCGTCCTAGATAGGAGTTCCAGCATCTTTCACTTCGATTTGGAAGAAAATAACCCCGAACGCACTACCTTGTCCGACGATCGTCCTAGAAAGAAGTTCAAGCCTCTTTCACTTCGACTTGGAAGAAAATAACACCGAATGCACTGCCTCGTCCGATAATCGTCCTAGAAAGAGGTTCCAGCCGATTTCACTTCGACTTGGAAGAAAATAACATCGAATGCTCTGTCTTGTCCGACGTTCGTCCTAGAGAGGGGTTCCAGCATCTTTCACTTCGATTTGGAAGCAAATAACCCCGAACGCACTACCTTGTCCGACGATCGTCCAAGAAAGAAGTTCAAGCCTGTTTTACTTCGACTTGGAAGAAAATAACACCGAATGCACTGCCTTGTCCGGCGATCGTCCTGGAGAGGAGTTCCAGCCTCATTCACTTCGACTTGGAAGAAAATAACACCGAATGCACTGCCTTGTCCGACGTTCGTCCTAGATCGGTGTTCCAGCCTCTTTAAATTCGACTTGGAAGAAAATAACACCGAATGGACTTCCTTGTCCGACGATGTCCTACAAAAACATTCCGGCGTCTTTCACTTCGACTTGGAAGAAAATAACGCCGAATGCACTGCCTTGTCCGGCGATCGTCCTAGAAAGGAGTTCCAGCGTCTTTCCCTTCGACTTGGAAGAAAATAACACCGAATGCTCTGTCTTGTCCGACGTTCGTCCTAGAGAGGAGTTCCAGCGCCTTTCACTTCGACTTGGGATAAAATAACACCGAATGCACTGCCTTGTCCGATGATCGGCCAAGCCTCGTGTGACGTTCGTCCTAGATAAGAGTTCCAGCCTCTTCACTTCGACTTGGAAGAAAATAACACCGAATGCGTCCGATAATCGTACTAGAAACAGGTTCCAGCCTCATCCTCTTTCACTTCGACTTGGAAAAAAATAATACAGAATGCTCTGCCTTGTCCGGCGATCGTCCTAGATAGGAGTTCGAGCCTCTTTAACTTCGACCAGGAAAAAAATAACACCGAATGGACTCCCTTGTCCGACGTTCGTCCTAGAGAGGGGTTCCCGCGCCTTTCACTTCGACTTGGAAGAAAATAACACCGAATGCACTGCCTTGTCCGGCGATCGTCCTAGAACGGAGTTCCAGCCTATTTCACTTCGACTTGGAAGAAAATAACACCGAATGCACTGCCTCGTCCGATAATCGTCCTAGAAAGGGGTTCCAGCCTATTTCACTTCGACTTGGAAGAAAATAACATCGAATGCCCTGTCTTGTCCGACGTTCGCCCTAGAAAGGAGTTCCAGCATCTTTCACTTCGACATGGAAGAAATTCACACCGAATGCACTGCCTTGGCCGACGATGTCCTAGAAAAAAGTTCCGGCCTCTTTCACTTCGACTTGGAAGAAAATAACACCGTATGCTCTGTCTTGTCCGACGTTCGTCCTAGAGAGGAGTTCCAGCCTCTTTCACTTCCACTTGGAAGAAAACACCGAATGCTCTGTCTTGTCCGACGTTCGTCCTAGAAAGAGGTTCCATCCTCTTTCACTTCGACTTGGAAGAAAATAATACCGAATGCTCTGTCTTGTCCGACGTTCGTCCTAGAAAGGAGTTCCAGCATCTTTCACTTCGATTTGGAAGAAAATAACCCCGAACGCACTACCTTGTCCGACGATCGTCCTAGAAAGATGTTCCAGCCTATTTCACTTCGACTTGGAAGAAAATAACACCGAATGGACTCCCTTGTCCGACGATGTCCTACAAAAACGTTCCGGCGTCTTTCACTTCGACTTGGAAGAAAATAACATCGAATGCACTGCCTTGTCCGGCGATCTGCCTAGAAAGGAGTTCCAGCCTCTTTCCCTTCGACTTGGAAAAAAATAATAGAGAATGCACTGCCTTGTCCGGCGATGTCCTAGATCAAAGTTCCAGCCTCTTTCAGTTCGACTTGGAAAAAAATAACACCTATGGCACTACCTTCTGCGACGATCATCCTAGAAATATGTTCCAGCCTATTTCACTTCATCTTGGAAGAAAATAACACCGAATGCACTGCCTTGTCTGGCGATCGTCCTAGAGAGAAGTTCCAGCCTCTTTCATTCGACTTGGAAGAAAATAACACCGAATGCACTGCCTTGTTCGGCGATCGTCCTAGAAAAGAGTTCCAGCCTCTTTCACTTCAACTTGGAAGAAAATAACACCGAATGCACTGCCGTGTCCGGCGATCGTCCAAGCCTCGTGTGACTTCTTCCTGGAGAGTAATTCCAGCCTCTTTCACTTCGACTTGGAATGCAAACCGTATGCAATATCTATAGCGTGGAGTTTGAGAGAAATTTGTTTAAAGGCGCCGGCCGCCGGTCGACAGGACGCAGGCGTGAGACGATGGCGTGTTCAGTTTTGAAAACTCACAGAACCGTCGCTGGCCGGGGGCGAGAGCCGATTCTTCGTGAACCGCGCCGTTACCTTTCCAAAGATGAAAATAAACACGTTGTTTTCTTTCCGGACCTGATTAGATAAATTACATTTTCTAACTATGTCCTTTTGCCGGAGGAGTCGGTTTTTAATTAAGCTCAACACGCCGTCGCCTACATCGTCGGATAAAAGGAGACGTATAGGATCGTACGTCTCATTCCCCGTCTAACCCGCGGCCGCGTAGCACTGGCATTCATTCCCATCAAACGGACTTGCCGTGACGCCGTTTTAGCACTTCGATCATGGAGCCGGACTTCCCCCAGGAGATGTTCATCGGCGCCCTCGACATCGGCACCTCCAATGTGCGCTTTTTCATAATCGACGTCAACGGGAACATCAAGGGATCCGACAGCAGTTCCGTAAGTCCTTCTACAGCAATTCACTTTTTCCCGGGGAGGGTGTCACGACAGAGACTGACTAGAATCTGACACATTACTATTCCGAGTGGTCGCGACTTTTCGACATGCTCAGGTTTCCCCTCACCCGTCCAAAACTTCATGCCACAATCATAAGATTTATTTATTGAAAGTGAAGTTTTTCTTACGAAACTCGATAATTTCCCTGAGGAAATTTCATACAGGAAAAGATCCGATGTCTATCTTCAATTCGACAAAAATGATTCCCGTCTTAGTTCCCACTCGTTCGCAAATTCGACGTATCGCTTTCTAAGAGAAATCTTTGGATTTTCTGCTCAGAAGTACGTTGCCCACCCGTGGAATGACACTCGTCGCAGAAACATCCAGAAGTCTCGTAAAAGATTATGAAAGATTAAAAGCCATGAAAAATTTCTTCCCAGTCAGCTTTTAAAAATTAAACTTTTTACAAACCCAAATTGAATTTTTTAGGTTTAAATTGTACTTTTTCAAACCCTAATCTTGAATTTTTTTCATACCAGAATTAAACTTATTCCAACCCAAATTGGACATTTTCAAGCCCAAATTAAACTTGAATGGTTTTATTTTTCCAACCAAAATTGAGCTTTTTTAAGCCTTACTTTCATACCAAAATCTAACTTTTCCAACCCAAGTGGAACTGTTTTGTAATCTTAAATTGTACTTTTTCCTAACTTAAATCTTGAATTTTTGTGGTACCAAAATCTAACGTATTCAAAACCAAATTGGACATTTTCGAACTCAGAATGGAACTTTCATATTTTTATTTTTCAAACCCAAATTGAACTTTTTTTAACCTTTTTGTCATACGAATATCGAACATATTACAACCCAAAATGTACACTGTTTGAAACCAAATTGAACTCATTCCAACCGCAATTTGACTTTTTCAAACCAAAATTGAACTTTGCCAAACTCAAATATAATTTATTCGTAACCTAAATTGAATTTTTCATACCAAAATCGAACATATTCCAACCCAAATTGGACACTCGAACCAAATTTGCACGTTCTTTTTTTTACAAACCCAAATTGATCTTTTCTCAAGCTATTTTCATACCAAAATCGAACTTATTTCAACCCAAATTGAACTTTTATATTTTCAAACCCAAATTGTACTTACTCCCAAACTCAAAAAGAATTTATTCCAAATCTAAATTTAATTTTTCATGCCAAAATCGAACTCATTCCAACCTGAATGGGCACTTTTCGAAACAAAATTGAACTTTTATATTTTTTTTTTCCAAATCCAGATTAATCTTATTACCACCCAAATTGGACATCTCCAAACCAAAATTGAACTTTTTACGGACACAGATTGCACTTCTTTTAAAACGTCTTCTTTGTACTCTAAAGCCAATTCAATTTTTCAAATCAAATTGAACTTTTTCATTTCGAACCCTTATCGAAATTATTCCAACCCAAATTGGATATTTTCAAACGAAAATCGAACTTATTCCAACCAAAATTGGACAGTTTAGAAACCCCCCCCCCATTTAAACATGTTGAAACTGCAATTAAACTTTCAAACCCAAATAGTACTTATCCCAATCTAAATTGAACTTTTTCTAAACTGCACATAGTTTTTCTAAACCACATTATACTTTTACCAAAGCTGATTAAATTTTTGATCAATCAAATATAATTTTTTTCTACCCAATTGAAACTTATTCCCACCCAGTTCGAACATAATCCAACCCAAATTGAACTCATTCCAACCCAAATCGAACTTTTTTTTAAAAACGCATAATACTTTTTCCAAAGCAAATTCCAAATTAAACTTTTTCCCACCAAACCAAAATTTAACATTTTTCAAACCCATTGTATAAACAGAAATAGAAATAAATTCATTAAAAAAAAAAAACATTTTCACAGTAAAGCTTGGACCCTTTACAGTGAGTAGACAAATGTCAAATAATTAAATAGCAAAAAGGTTACAACATATAATGCAAGAAAAAAATTGTTATTAGACAAAATTTGTACTAATGTAATAGAACAAATATATAATACCTACTCCAACCTAAATTGTACTTTTCCTAAACGCATTATACTTTCTCCAAAGCAAATTGACCTTTTTACACACCAAATTTAAATAGCTCTATACTGAATTATGTTTTATTCAAACAATTTTTTTTTTTAATCTGTGATACAAAGTAGGTTAGCAAAATCTTTGGATTTATAATATGCTCGGTTAAGGAAATAATGTTGGCCACATTAACTTACCTATTTTTAATTTGAGATAAATTTAAAGAGGTCTATTTTGGTTGATATTTCGACCTATAAAAGAATCATGTTTTAAATACATGTATATTTAAGAGGATTTTTTTCGACTTATTAGGTAATTTTAATTAGCTTTAATTATTTTATTTAATCCATTTACGTTTTAGTGGTCAATTGACCAAGTTACTTCTTTAAATTAATTAATTATTTTTATGTAAGATCTTGGTTGAGATTTTATCTCGGTAGAGTTTTTATCTCAACCAAGTTATTACATAAAAAGAAATTTTTTTTTAAACTTGAAACATGTAAAAGTTAAAAAGTTAATTAGATCTTAGATAAGTTAGATATCTCTAAGATCTTAGATCTTAGTTAATTAGATAAGCAATTCTAATGATGATTTTTGTTTAGAATCGTTTTATCTGGTATGGAAATATTTCAATTTGATTTGAAAAATTTGAGCTCATTTTATAAGGTAAAAGCGCACATTTTTTTCTTAAATTAGTTTATCCTCCTTTTTTTTAAAAAAAGATAGTTCCTACTTACAGTAAGTTGTTTTCGAGTGTTCCGGATTTCGAGCCCTTAGCTCATCATCAGATTTCTACGACACGTCTCTCGACATGGTGACGTGTGTAGAAATCCTTCAATCTGATGATGAGTTTAGGGCTCGAAATCCGTATCATTGGAAAACAACTTAATGTGAGTAGGAACTATCTTTTTTTTTAAAGGATTGAATACCACACTCATTCCATCATTCATCATTTCTATTAGTTTATCCTTGTCGATTGATTTCACGGGGCGAGGAAATCATAAAATCATGTTCCACTAGTTCCACTTAAACGTTTATTGATCTGCCTTACTTCCCCCCTTTGTTAAATTTTAACGAGGGAATCAATTTTTCAAAGTAAATCGATAGATTTTTTTCCAGTTTTGAATATTATACGCCCTGTGAACCGGCGCCAGCGAAATAGAAATTTTCTTTTGAAATTTGTCGATCTTTCCACACTCGAATCTTCATCCTCGTAGTTTTACCATTATTGTTTACATCAAATGATGTTTTTACGATTCATCATAATCTTCGTTTTGGAAGAAGAAAACAAAATTGTAATTTGAATTTTATACGTAGTCGTTTGTAAAGGCGGCGTTTTATTTTATTAAATCCATTATCTTTATATGTGTGTTAAACGTTTTCGGCTTATCATAGAAAGTAAACATAATAGTTTTATTTACAGGCATTTGTACATGCGATTCTCATTAGTTACATCCTTGACATGTTCCTGATATCTTAAGCTACATGGCTGTTATTGAACAAGTCAATTACATGACACCTCAAAGGAAACGTAAATGTTGACTTAGTAAGCCACTTAGGAGGCCGAGAACTTTATTTCCATTTATCGTATATGTGCTAATTGCTAGCCAAACGATTTAGTCAAGCTAGCCACGTTGGTTAGCCCACCTTAGATCTTTTTCCCACTGCTTCTTTTTCAAACAGGAGCGGTGTTTTGACGGAATAGGATTTGATGAACTGTCAGTTTTAATTGATATCTTCTAAGATATCCATTATCAGTGAAAGACAAAATGATAATAGATCGGATATCAATTTTTTATTATTCGAGAAGATTTTTTTTTAATCTAAAAGATTTTGTAGGGTATTTATTTGAAGGAAAAGATTATAGCCTTGGATAGAAGTCAGTTACCCTTTGGAACAGTAGATATTTTAAAATATTAAATATTCGTACTGATTAAATGGATATAATAACAAAAATAATTTGAATAAACGAGTGCATTTTTGTATAAATATTCATTTGTTTACACACAAAAAATTTCAATTTGGGTTGGAATAAGTTCGATTGTGTTTGTGGGATTCAAAAAAGTACAATTCGGGTTGAAAAATTCAGTAGGTTTTAAAAGTTTTTTTTTCTGTCGGAAAAAAGTTCAGTTTGTGTTTGAAAAAGTTCCATTTGTGTGGAAAAGAGTTCAGTTTGATTTGGCTAAAATTGAATGTACTTTAGAAAAAATATAATGAGGTTTAGAAAACGTTCGCAGGCTTGAAAAAGTACAATTTTGCTTTAAAAATGTCCAATTTGGTATGGCAAATACTAAATTTCATTTGGAAAAAATTGGATTTGATTTGAAATAACTATAACGCTGTTTGTAAAAAGTACAAATTTTAAATTTGGGATTGAAAAAGTTTGTGTTTGAAAAAGTTCAGTTTGTGTTTGATAATGTCCAATTTGGGTTGGAATAAGTAAAATTTGAGTTTGAAAAAAGTTTAGTTTGGGTTTGTAAACGTTCAACTCGTGTTTGATAATGTCCAATTTGAGTTGGAATAAGTTTGATTTGAGTTGGGAAAAGGTATAAACTGGGTTTAGAAAAAGGACTTTTCGGGGTTGAAAAAAAGAATTCAATTTGGGTTAGAAAAAAGTATGGGGGTTTAGAAAAAGCACTTTTTGGGCTTGGAACAAAGTACAATTTGCATTAGAATAAGTTCAATTTTGGATTGAAAACGTTCAATTTGGATTTTATAATGACCAATTTAGGTCACAATAAGTTAAATTTGGTTTTGGAAAATGTTGTATTGGTTTGGAAAAGGACAGATAATCTTAGTTTGAAAATTGTCAATTTGGGTTTGATAATGTTCAATTTGATTTGGAATAAGTTCATTTTGGGTTTGAAAAAAAAGGTCAATTTGAGAATGGAAAAGTACAAGTTGAGTTTGAAGTATTTAGGTTTGTTTATTCATTTTCTATAACGATCCTCCTGCTTGAGGAATATTTGTTATTAAAAATAAATAAATAAAATATCGAAACAATTGTGTAGGTTATTTGTTTGAAGAAAAAAATTACAGCCATGGAAAGAATAGTTAATTGCCCTTTTGAAGGCGTTATTTTAAAATATTAAATATTCATACTATTTAAATGTATCAAATAACAGGATAATCAGAATAAACAAGTATTTTTACGTAAATATTCTTTGTTTGCACAAAAAAAGTTATCTCATGATTCTTTCAGTTATGATTTCATAGTAGAACAGTAGTTTTCATAGAACTGAAATAATCATTTGAGATAAAATACAGAGTACATAGACAAAAATCGTTAGGGGAATTAAATTTTTGTTATATGACTCACTGAATTGTCCTTTTAACAATTACACCTTCAGTAGATTTTGTTATATTGTCCACGGTTACAAAATAGATTAAGATTTTTTTATAAAATCTTTCAGTAAATTCCAATTTTTTTTTTTTTTCAAATAAAAAAATATTCTTCAAACAGGAGGATTGCTGTAAAAAAACAAATGAACAATACCTAAACGCTTCAACCCAACTTGTGCTTTTTCGATTCTAAATCCTAACTTATTCCAAACTAAATTGTCCATTTTCCAAACGCAATTAAAACTTTTTTCAACAAAAATTGCACTTATTCCAACTCAAATTGTACATTATCAAACCCAAATTGAAAATTTTCAAACCCAAACGGAACTCTTTTTTTCCAGGCCCAAATTGTACTTTTTCAACCCTTAATTGTACTTATGACAAATTGCATTATACTTTTTCAAAATGAAATTTATATTTGCCATACCAAATTGAACATTTTTAAACCCAAATTGTACTTTTTAAAGACTAAATCAAACTGTTTTTAAACAGCATTATACTTTTTCCAAAGCAATTTAATTTTTTCCCAAATCAAAATTGAACTATTTCCAAAGCAAATTGGACTTTTTAAACCCAAACTGAACTTTTTTTAAACCCAAACTGAATTTTTTCAAACACATGCTAACTTATTCCAAACCAAATTGGACATTTTTCAATGCAAATTGAATTTTATCAAGTCCAAATAGTCCTTTTTCCAAACCCATTTTTAAGCTTTCTTTCAATCCCAGATTAAAGTAATATTAACCAATTGGACATTATAAAACCTGTTTTAAATTTTTTATTAAACCCAAATTTAATTTATTCTAACCTAAATTGTACATCTTCTAAATTGCCTTGTACTTTTTCCAAAAAATTAACAATCCCCTATTCTTATTTATAAACTGCACAATTAAGTACTTATAATTTAAATAAACTTACCAACTTAGTCTCTAACAGTTTCTATCCCTGCTTATAAACTAAATAAACACACTCATTTAGCTCTTTAACAAATCTCTATTCCTACTCATAATTTACACAACTTAATTCTTAGATAATTTCTATCCCTAGTAATTAAATAAATAAACCAGTATAGTTTTCTAACAAATCTCTATTCCTATCCTAAGTCAGTTTATTCCTCGAGGAATGTATTATTCAAAATTCGGCCACAGCCTTGAAATCTGAAATCTGTCTTGGTATTTGTATTACTACAACTACTTCGGGCCACCAGTTCTCTTCTGACACTGCGAACTTGCGCCGACTACTCCGGCCGCACCGGTTCTCTTCTCTGACTAGGACTCTGCGAACTCTGCACCGACTGCCACAGCTACTGTTCTCTTTACTGACTCTGCCTGCCTCTTACTGACTCTCTTATTTCTCCTGGCCGACTCCTACTGACTTCTTGATCAACTCCTACTGCCAAGACGACTGCCCCGAAGCTATATTCTGATTGTGTCTCTCCTTTTTGGGATCATATTTAAGCCAATCAGTCAGGGTGAAGGTGGAGAACCCATCAAGCTTAGGAAACACTGTTATGATTTCTTGTGACTTGATTGCCTGTTTTTCTTCCCCAGTTTGTTGTGCTTTTCGGGTGTCATCCGGGCATTAGCTAACACTAGAGCTTATGCGATAAGGCCACTTGTCCGCACCACAGTAAATATTTCTGTGGCAATTGCCTGGGAATGACCCACATTACACAGTGTTATTATTTTGCCAGCTTCGTTTGGCTGTGTGGGGTTTGTGTGGAAGAGAAGGCCTAATCTCAGCATCGTGGAAACTTCCGATGGCCTAGTCTTACATAATACGCTTTCACAGCAATTAGCCGAAATATTCTCCTTTTCCAGCTTAATATTACAAATTAATTTTTAATCCCCGCAAAAATTTGTTTAAGAATCCTTTCTGGAATCTTCACAATTTTCACAACCAAAATGTACTTTTTCAACCCCAAATTGAACTTTTCCAAGAAATTTTCCTTGAAATACGTCTGTATATTGTGCAATTTCTTCTTGAGGTTCTGACGATAATGACTTGTCACTAGATTGTCCCTTATTCTTTTGAATATGAAGGCTAGTGTCAAGTTCCCATTCCGTAATTTATAAGGCCTTTTGGGAGAAATTAAGTCCATCAGAAGGCACAGAAATTTAAAATGTTTTGTTCTCAGCAAATCATGGTGTATTATTTTACAGGTTGAGCTTTTATATCCTAAGCCTGGCTATGTGGAAATTGATCCAACAAGTCTATGGAACCAAATTGTAAATGTAATGACTTCAGCCATCAAAAGTAAGTTGCCAACTTTAAATTGCCAATTTTAGAAATAGCTACATTTAATACACGTATTCACATAAAAAATTGTGTTACCAATCTTTTATCAATCCATACGAACTCAAAAAGTCCAAAGTAATTTGATGTTTAGTTAATTTGAGGTAAAATGACCCAAGTCGTTAAAATTCCCCATAGATGTTATAATTATGATTCATTTTTGATTGAATAATACAGCTTATTTTTCAGTTTGGTTAGTAGGCTTTTAAATTAATTGTTTTTAAAATAATTTTTGATTAACTGACCAATTATTAGCTGTTAGATTAAAATCCTATCAGTTGGTTAGCAAGGTGTGTTTACTGGTAAATTCTTACTAATCCAAATTTAAATAATATTAATTTTTTTAATGGAAAACATTGTTACATATTTTCACATAAAAAGTTTTTTTTTTTAACCCATTTTATCTGTTTATATAATACTTCATGAAATATTATGAATGATACTTACATTTTTTTTCAGAAACGGAAATTAATGTTTCTCAGATTAAAAGTTTAGGCATATCTTGCCAGAGATGTACTTTTGTTACTTGGAACAGGCTTACAAATGTGCCATATCATAAATTCATAACATGGAAAGATATCCGGGCTGATGAAATGGTGAAGAATCTAAATTCCTCGTACACAATGAAGGTATGTTAAAAAAAAAAGTAAAATTATTATGGCGGTACAAATATTCTTAACACGATGACTGTGTCCTATGCCATTTTGGCTGCCCAGGCAGAACCCAATGTATCACGTAGAGTAGCTCTTTGGTACATAAAAATAATGCAAATGATTTTTTAAGGCTGCTCTTGGAATTTCGATCGGAATCAGCAGGTGAAGTGGAGAGTATAAAATGTATAAATGGGAGGGCGCAGATCGTGCGTCCACCCCACTCAGACAGTTGGCAACATGTTAAATGATTAAAATTGAAATTTTAAACTGTTGATACAAATATCAAAGCACTAGAGTTGTATAGCCCTTAAATATTTGATTGATTTTCTGTTCTAGTGCCTTAGAGGTGTATCAAAAGCTTTGTACACATTATCTCGAAGCAAACGATTTTTAGCTGGAAGTGTACTCAAATTAATGAATGTTCAGGTATTTATTAATACATTTAGTCATTACTTTGAATTATTCATATTATCTTTGTATTGTCTGTTTACTGATTTTTTCAATTTTTGCTTGGACTTTATTTTGACGTTTATAAGTGTAAAGTAATTCAACAATAATAAAAAACACACTCCATTGTTGGGGACCTTTTAAAAAAATGTTTATGAAATTCATGCTAAAATCAACAAATCCTTCCATGCTGCTTAGATAGGTAAAAGATAAATACTCGCATTAATAATTTTGGTTTTGTTTCAGGTAACGGTGAGACTGCTTTGGGTTTTAAAAAATATTCCTGGATTGTCAGAAGATGCAGTTGCTGGAAATGTGGCTTTTGGTACTATTGACACATGGTTACTTCATAAATTTACCGAGGGGAAAATCCATTTAACTGATGTATCAAATGCTAGTGCTACTGGTCTATTCGATCCTTTTACTATGTGTTGGGCTGATTGGGCAATAAAATTATTCAATATTCCAATCAAAATGCTTCCGACTGTGGTCGATTCTGCTGGAGATCATTTTAGAGAGATATCACCGAGTATTTTGGGCCATGCGATTCCAATTCGATCAGTTGTACGATATTAAAAATTTAAACAAACTGTTTCTTTAGCTCACTGGTTCTATTTTTATAGGTCGCAGATCAATCTGCTTCACTTTACGGTTCGTGTTGTTTCTCGGAAGGGGATTTGAAAGTCACACTGGGTACTGGTACATTCCTAAATGTAAACACAGGATCAGTACCTCATGCATCTGTAGCTGGTCTTTATCATTTATCATTTTGTTTAATTATTCTTTGAGTCATAAGTTATAGCACGTATATATTTTTTAGGTCTTTATCCTGTTGTTGGTTGGAGGTACAAAGATGAACTAGTTTATTTAGCCGAGGGTGCTTCTAATGACACAGGAACAGTAATTAAATGGGCTCAACAAATGGGTACGCATATGATTAATAAAATAAGTCATCTCCTATTTTTTTTTAACAATTTTAATTCAAAAAACATATATAATATCATAAAAATATAAAAACAAGTTGGGTAATTTGGATAGAATAATCAATTGTACAATTATTATTATTTTTTTTTGTATAATTATAAAATTTCTGTTCAGGTCGTTTCAATCAATCTAGATACACTGAAATATTTATTTACCAATAGAATATTGCAAATTTTCCAACGATTTCATTAGATTTTCACACAATTTTTAAAATTTTTAATTTTTGTATACAACTATTCCCAACTGTATGATTATTAAATGTTTATGTACTACTTGTCTCTGCAAACAGTTGCAAATGTTGCACATATACTCGGTTAAAAGAAACTACAAACGGGAATCTTTTCTATGCTTGAAGAAAATATCAGGTGGTCCAAGCCTGTAATCAGCATAATCCATTCTGTGAGATCATCTTTTGGGGAGTGGTAGTGTTCTGTGCTCTTAATTTAAACCGAAATTATACTTTTTCAAGCCTAAATCAAACTTCTTCTACAGAGCATTATATTTGTTCCAAAACAAATTTAATTTTTGCCAAATCAAATGGAACTAATTATTCCAAACCAAATTGAACTTTTTCTAAACGAAATTGCACTTTCTTAAAGCCAAAAATGGATTTTTTCAATCCCAAATCATACTTATTCCATCCCAAATCGGACTTATTCCATTCCAAATTGGATTTTTTCAAACCCAAATAGTCCTTTTCCAAACCCCTTTTTATTTTTATTTTTTCTCAATCCCAAATCGAACTTATTCAACCCAAATTGTACTTTTCAAACTCAAATTTAACTTAATGCAAACCAAATTGGATATTTTCAAACCTAAGTTGTACTTTTTCAATCCCAAATCAAACTTATTCCAATGCAAATTGGGCATTATCAAATTGAAAGATTTTCAAGCCCAAATAGTCCTGTTCTAAACAACAAAAACTTTTTCAAATCAAAATTTAACTTTGATCATTAGTAAATCCAAATTGAACTTTTTCAAACCCAATTCAAACTTCTCTCTTTCTCTCTCTCTGTGATAAACATCTCAGTCCAAACCGGTTTGTGTGTAGGGCTTAATACCTCTGACAATTTTTGGTTTGTTATCATCCATTCAGTCTTCTTTCGGACTTACATACCAAGACAAGTCATACCAATTCTTAGTTGCATGATCAGTATTCTTAGACTATAACTAGTATATTTATTAATTTTCACTAGTCACTTCACTTTTAATAAGATTAAACAGTTCAAATCAAATTTATTGTTAAATTTGTTTACTAGGTTTCATTGAAGACTTAGATGAGTGCTCGTCAGTTGCAGCTTCATTGACGGACAATGATGGAGTTTTTTTTATTCCTGCTTTTGGGGGCCTGCAGGTAAATTTGATTAAATGATAGCAAATAGCTTGCACAATTGTTTCATATTGTTCATAAATGAAACAAAATACAAAAGCTATCAATTTTTTTACTTTTGTATTTATTTATTGTTTTTTAAATAACTACCCCACAAAAAAGTGGCACACTTTGAAATTTTAATTTCTTTTGTAATTTGACAATGTTTTGGCCATATTTTTTATTTAATAATAAAAATGATTTAGTAATTATAATAAGATGAAAAGTATTTGTTTTTATCGTTGATTGTGAGGCAAAACTACTTTTTCTTTCTTTTTTTTAACGAGGGTTCGCAACTACGTAATTCCTAATTTGATTTAAAATCCCCACAATGTATATCATCAATCAACAAAGGCATTTAATCCTTTAAAAATGCCTTTATTCACTATTGTGCACACAAGCAAGTTTCCCATTGCCATTGCACTCATTGAGGTTGGAAGAAATCAGCGTTACATGGCAAGAATTTTAGGTTTGCCTGAAACGAGGTCCGTCGGCGAATAAAGTTGTTTTAATTGAAAATAAGGAAATCCAAAGAATTACAATATTGTGTAAACTAAAACAACTTTTATTGTTTATCCTATATAATATAATATTCATTCTTTACATTATCGATATTTACATAACTGTCAACTGTTAGATTGTCTTTGATCATCCTATTTCATTTCATTCACACCATAGTTAAGATCTTGTAAAAGTCTTGTAAAAAAAGTTGCACGATTAAAATATAAAGTGAGAATAAGCAAGTTGATTACAGAACAATCGAGTTAAAACTTTGTTAAATAAATTATTCGGAGATCATGAGATGTGGTCTGGTGTGGTGATGTAGGTTTAGAAAAACATGTTCTTTATCATGCCAACGTGTATAATTTACAAAATCAATTTTTAAATTTTATAGCAACATCCCAATATCTGGATAAGAGAGTAAAGCAACATATCTATGATTGCAAAAAACCCAAACAAAATCCTACAGCACTGGCTACCCACCATTTTGAACACCAACACAGTATCTATTTCAACAGACCAAAAATATTACACACAGAACAATTTTTTACATCAACAGGGATAAATACAGAATCAATTACAAAATATACACGTAAACTCAGTCGCTATGCTAATATCATTAATCAAATTCAATATCAATAACATACATATATCACACAAAACATAATACAACACCAGTCATTACATTCCACACATCAAACATTTCGACATAGTCTAATTCTTCAACAATTTGTCTTTCCTTTCCCTAATTATCCCCATCTGTATAATTTTGAAAGGATAATCAGGCTGAACCATCACCCATTTTTTCCCATTGCTGGCTCCTTTCACCTCAAAAAAGCCGACTCCTCATATAAAAATTGATTTCTATCTCTATTTCCTTCCCCACCCCTTCAAAATCCAACATATATAAACATAAAACAACAACACTCTCAACACGACACACAATAATGACACATTTACACAGAAAACAAACACTTTGAGTGAGTACAAATATTTTGATTGAGTCTAAAATTAATATCAGTGTATAAATTTATTTTTTCACATCCTACGTGAATTCGTATAACTTAAACAATGTTTATAAATCCCAGGTCCAATCGAAACATTGGCATGATAAAGAACATGTTTTTCTAAACCTAAGTCACATCAGACCGCATCTCACAATCTCCAAATAATTATTAATTAATAGTCACTAAACACCACACATTTGTATAATAAAGTTCAAAGTTAATATCTTTAAAATAATTGACATTCATCTTTTATTTTCTTGTTAACAGGCGCCAATCAATGATGCTCAAGCAAGCGCAGGATTTATTGGAGTGAAACCGACATCAAAAAAAGAACACTTACTTCGGGCGATACTTGAAAGTATTGTTTTTCGAGTTGTTCTTTTGTACGATGCCTTCAAAAGAGAAACTAACTATGGTGCTTCGTTAATAAGGTAGCACAAACAAAAAAATGTCAAAAATTCTTCACTATGAAATCACATTAAAAATAAAGCTTTAAACTATGTTAAACAAGCATATTATACAATAATAAAATTAATTTTGAATAATAGTATAAATAGTTTTGATATTGTATGCACTTACATTGTTCTGTTTAAAAAAAAAAAGTCCAATTATGTTAAAAATTTTAAGGGTTTTAGGTATTTTAATATTCATTCTTTTTATTTTAAGAGTTGATGGAGGTGTGTCACAGAACGATTTCATCATGCAAGTGCTAGCTGATCTCACTGGTCTGAAAGTTGAAAGACCACCAATTGCTGACATGTCCGGAATGGGAGCCGCTTATCTAGCAGGCTTAGCTTCTGGTATGTTCTGCTACTATACAGTTGTAACTGTTTCAGTTTACACTAGATTGATGATATATTGGGTTGGTGCAAAATTTATGCAGGTTTTGAAAATTTGTTTTATTTTCGCAGGTGCTTGTGCTGTAAACAAAGCTAAATCCTCAAATCTAAATTATGGATATACTAATACTATTATACAAAACATTTTAATTTATATTGAATTTTATAAGAGTGAGGACCTGCGAAATTAAATATTTCCAAATTAGATTTTTGTCAAGTTTGAATGAATATGATTTTAAACTTGGGTGAAGTGCAGCGTAAAGCACACGTAACATCAATACAGTTAAGGAGGAGAGAAGCATGGTGCAGCGATGATTTCAGAGATTTCTTCTTGGAGATTTCAATCGAGGTCGCAGTAGGCTTCGGTAGTGGCTGACGACCAACTCAAAACGTTGATTGAAGAAACACAAGACATCACGGGAAATTGTGAAAGAGCTTAGTGTTGACCACTCAATCATTGTTTGCCATCTGGAGTAAATTGGTAATTTCTCGATCGAATCATCACGTGTGATGAGAAATGGATTCTGTACAATAACAGGAACCGTACAGATCAGTGGTTGGACAAGGATGAAGTGCCAAAATAATTCCTGAAACCAAATCTACGCCCAAAAAAGGTTATGGTGACTGTTGGTGTTGTTCACTATAATTTACTGAATTATGGTGAAACTATCACAGCAAAGAAAAATTACAAGAAATTGACAAAATGCACAGGAAACTTTGTCCAGCATTGGTAAACCGTAAGGACCTTCTTCACAACAACGTCAGGCCACAGTTGCAATGCCAACCTTGAAGAAACTTACGAAATTATGATATGGAACCTTACAGCACCCTCCATATTCACACGGCCTCTCGCCTTCCACATTATTAGGCATTTTGATCCCTTCTTAAGGGATAAATTTTTTAAAGAACGTGGTGAAGCTGAAAATTCCTTCCAAGTGCTTATTTTACATTGGCAAAGATGTATAGATTGTGGTGGAAAATATTGCGAATAAATTTTTTTGTATTATAAAAATTAAAAATAATTTCAAGGCTTTTTCACAACCTGCATTATTTATGCACCAGCCCATAAGCTCAACAATCTTGAATTAGTTAAATTTTTGTCTTGAATACTATACAATCATTAAGGAGTTTAACCAAGTTAACCAACCAAGAGTTTTTTTTATATTAAACTAGAATTTTTTTGCATCGTTTGGTGTAAAGGATTTACAAATTTCAGAAGTGCTTTATTTAAAAATTAAAAGTGTTAAATTCAAATTAATTAAAAGAATGTGAGTGAATTACGAATGGATAAATCCCAATATAAGGGTAATCCTGCTCTGCTGTCTGGTGGAACGTCTCGTTGGAAGTAGTGTTGAACTAGACAAAACACAAAAATTTAAAAATTGAATGTAAAAACTGGTAAAAGTGAAGTTTTTTTACTTTACTGTTCCTTTTTCTTTGCTTCTGTTAAATATTTTGAATTGCTTATTTTTATTTTATTTATTTATTTAATTTTTTTTAACAAGGACAAAAAAAGAGGTTTTGTTGAACACTTTTTTGGAGATAAAATTCAGGTCTTGGTAAGAAAAATTTTTGACTGATGATAATTAGGGGGAGATTGTTATGAAATGTTCAAACTCAAGCAAAAAAATTAGTAAAACAAAATTTCCTGTTAATAACAAAAAATCAGACAATTTTTTAAAATGTATTTTCAAAGAGTTTATTAACTCTGAACATCTTCTGAACTGTCCAGTTGCATTAAAACTTATAAAAATATTCACAAAAAAGTGATGAATAAAATGAGACAAATTCTCGTGATCAGAATTATTTTATAAGATATTAAAGGAAAATGGAAGAATTACTAAAAAAGAATGTGAAAATTGGTTGACCCCCCCTTAATGTACCACCAGTGTTTAAACTTTATAGTTCATATATCCTAAGAGATTTTATTCTCAACAATAATTTGGGGTAATTAATTGGGTGTGGACAGTGAGGTCATAAACCTGAAACTAGGTCATCATCCTATTCTACTTATAACGGTTGGTCTTGTCTGACATGCTTGTTTTGTCATTTTGGCCATCTGACTACTAGTTACTGATTTATATAAGCTCAAATCTCCACATGGATGTAGTTACATACACACATCTACAGAGTTGAGCCTATCACTTCTTGCAGTCAACTGGTAATTGCAGCTTTTGTAATTTACAATAAATCGAGGTAATTTACAGGCCTCGAGAATCACTCACTCTGGTTGCTGGCAGACCAGGGTTAGTTAGCATCGGTCTTATCTGAACAGCAAGGTTGAGCACCAGGAGCCATGAATAGCATGGTCATTTCAACCCCCAATGCAATCAATTCCCCAAATCCAAACCCATTCGCACTCACTCACAACTTTTCTCTGCATGCGGACACATACCTCTTTGGTCCAAAAGTGTCTGTCAACCTTGCATGTCCTAATCTTAATTGGGTGAGGATGACCCTTCTTCTACAGTCAGCCCACCTGCCAACAGTGCTGTTGATACATGAGAGATGCTTCACTGATTCAGTTTCATAGACCCCGAGTGTGAAGAGACAAGCCAAAAACCACCATACCTCAATCTAAGTTCCAAGAACTTAGCTTAGTAAAGGTATGGTAGAGTAGACGACTGTTTAACACGGCATGATCATCCTGGACCCAGGGTGGAGTCGGCCAATTGCCCAGCTAGAGTCTCGTTCCCAGTGATATACTTGCCCTCCCTAAGGCTTCACCGAAGATTCCTTCCAAATCCGAAGTCGCTGGTATATTCTACTGTATTGGCTTCTAATGATCTTGCCCGAAAGCCAATGACCTGGCAAACCAGGTCCTTGCCAAAGCAAGGAACCCTGCCTCATCTCTTGGGTACCTTTTTTTTGTGTTCTTTTATAAGTTTTATGGATTAACTAACACAGTCCAGGGGGGCCGCAGTAGCCGAATGGTTAAGGCGCCAGACTCTCGGCTAGTAGATCCCGAGGTCGTGGGTTCGATCCCCACCGTCGCCTCTGGACTTTTTCTGACGCCTAAGGGGACCGGTGGCCGCGATTGAAAGAAATTGACACGGCACTCATCAATGGAAGGGGCGGGATCGGATCTCAGCGATTTGGTCCCAACCCCCTTCAAAAATGAGTTTCTTCGATGGAAGAACACCGGTACAATGAGGGCTCAAGTTCACATTTGTGTTGCGAGCCCTCCTCCAAAATATGGAGCCATGGATAAAGTACAATAAGCTGTACAGCTCAGCTGCAGTGCTCAGGAGGGAACTCCTCCAGTCCCTGATATCCAAGGGAAAAAAAAAACAGTCCAACCACTAAAGATGGTGAAATGCCAAAACAAGCCTGACAGACCAAAATAGCAATGACAGGAATACCAGGATTATTAGAAATTGCTTACTTATGGATAAAAATCTTCTTTTTTTTTCTTAATTGTGTGAGCTGTTTTAATTTCACACACCTTAATTTTTATATAACTATATCAAAACATTAATATTTCTATTTTAGGAGTGTGGAATGGAAAGTCCGATTTCTGCAAAATGCGTAGAAACTGCCATCTGTTTTCTCCGAACAACACGCCTAAAGATGAGGAATTGATAGTAAAACGAAAAAAATCTTTCGAATTATGGCGTGGAGCTCTTACAAGATTTCTTGCTTGGTACAAGTGAGAGTTTAAAAGTTTTATTTATTTATTTTATTATTTTTTATGAAGTAATATTCACATGTTTTAAATGAATTATTACAATATCTGATTTCATTCCAGATAGGTAGAAAAGCCCTGTAACATTATTAGAGAGATTGACACTGAACTCTCACAATAAAAGTTATTTCATGTTCAGTGGTTTTATGAATGAGTTTTAATTTGCTATGGGAACATATCATTCAGGCTTATCATTCAGTTCAATAAATTATGAAAAATTGAAGTTAATTTTAGAATTTATTAACTTGAGAATTATGTTCATTCCATTTTCATAAGCTGAATGATATTTTTTTAATTCCATTTCATAAAATTACTTTGACGAATATAGTGTCGACATTTTGGTAATTTACTCTTATCATGATAATCATAATTTAATTTTAACTTTTAGTTGGTTTGGGGACTATTAGTATTTTATTTTAGAATTCATTTATGATAATAATCATATATCCACACTTACCCACAAGCAAGCACATATTTACCTTGGGTTGTTTTATTAGATCCCTTGTAAAATTTGAAATAATTTTGCACTATTTTTTACAATCGGGGCTACATACTATTTTGGCCAATGTCACCTTTTGACAGATTACCAGTCGCAATAACTCGACAATCGTACAATTAAGGTATTCACTTAACATTCTTATATTCTCCAAACAATCAATGCATTGCTCATCCTTGCAATTATATTATTAAACTTTTTTTTAGCTATTATTATGTTAGCATTTATTATGTTATATTTGTTGTTTTTAGCTACTGAATACAGTGTATTTATTTGACTATAAAATTACAAGGGTGCAGCATGCATTGATGGTTCTAAATGAACATCATAGTTACAAAGTTTTATTTGTAGACAAACTAGTGTTGCTACAAATATGTGATAGTTTGCATTTTATTTGTTATCTTACACTTAAGTGTTATTTTTTTCTATGCTAGTATATACTACTGTTAACATTGAGGTGGAATCATTATTATTATTTAATATTAAATTATAAAAAATTAGTGTTTTTATGATTGTAATATTAACACTATTAAATCACCTCCTTTGTTAAACAGATTTAATGATGTTCGTTGTGTTTTCACATTTATTATTAATCAAAAATATAATTTTTATTAGCTAATACAAATTTAATGGAAAATGGGACCAAATTATCTTGCTCAATTATTAATTTGGAAATGAAAATGCATAAATTATAAATGTTTTCTGTGATTAAAAAGTACCTTTTATCATAAATACTGCGACTACGGTATAAATGGTTGTTAATTGTTGTCAAATTTTGTATACAACAATGTAATTGTTATAATAAAGTATGATATATTTTCCAGACTTTTCGTCTTTTTGTACACTATTCTCTACTTACTTATATTTCCTTTTGTTTCTGTAAAAATGTGTTGATAACATAATGCGATTATTCAATGGAAAAGAAATGAAATATCAAGGACTGAAAAACCTGTTGATATATCAATCGAGCTGAAAAGTTCATGGAATTGTGCAAAGAAGCAGAGGAAAACCAAAGGCAAACACACTTGCCATCAACTGGGACTACAACATCATGGAAGAAATACAATCAGTTGTAGTGATAAAAAGTAACTGTTATACTTTTTTTAAGTTGAGGAACAATTTATTATTGATACACAACAATATTCAAGTTTGGACAAACACTTTTGTTGTGTTATAATCTGATTGATTCTATAGACATAGATTTTCAGATCATCAACAAAGGGTGAAGAATATGTAGAAAACAAGAAAGGCCTCAGTAGTGAACCTTGAGCTACTCCAGAGAGGATAGAATATGTAAATATGTTTTAGGCAATAGAAATATTGATTGAACCAGCCATAATAAGAAACAATTAATTAAGGTTTTCAGTTGAGATAAAAAAGTCAATGGCACGAGCGGGATTTGAACCCACGATCTTCGGCTTGATACGCCGCTGCTCTACCACTTGAGCTATCGTGACCTCGATCCACTTGGACACCAACCTCCCATCTCAACCACACCTTTTGAATTTTCCCTCAACCACGAAACTAGTGAACATAATAAGAAAGTTTGTTAATTAGTATGTCATGGTTAGCAAGATCGAAATCTTTAGAAAAATAAAGGTATATAGAAACCGCTTGTTGATTCAAAATGGAATGGATACCATTTGTTATGAGATTATTAAGCATTTAAGCAAAGATTGCTTGCATATGATTCTTTACATATAAACATTATCTACAACTTTTATCTACAAACTTTATCTACGCATTTGAAAAAAGATTTTATAAAACTGAATTTAAGAACATCAGAAAAAGTGCCTAGGGTGAGTGAGATATTTTAATTCAATTTAGTCAATATTGAAGTTGCGTTATTTTTGTAGGTAAGAGGTATTTTATTGGGGCCAGGACTTTTTTTACATTTAACTTTGGTGAACTGACCAATTACATCTTCAACCTAAAAGTGTGTTGGCAAGTTGACACAAATAATGGATCAATTGGAATTGATAATCCTGCGGGGAAGAAGTTAATTTAATGTACAAAAAGGTGAATTTGAATTTTAAAAGATTGAATTTATTTATTAATGGCAGCCACATCCTTTTATACTATTAATAAGAAAACACGTATTTATAATCAAGATAAAATACAATTGATATGTCAATATTTGATAAGCATTTGTCAATTTATCAATATTTAGTAAAAAAGTTAATTTTATTTGAAAAATGTTAACTTTAATTTGCAAAAAGGTAAATTAGATAAATAAGAAAATGAATTTAGTAAGGAAGAGGTGAATTGGATTTGTAAAAGAGTGAACTTAATATGAAAAAGGGTGAATTTAATTTCTGAAAGAGTGACTTTCAATTGCAAAGGAGTGAACTTAATTTGCAAAAGGATGAATTTGACTGGCAAGGAGTGAATTTGATTTGCAAAAGAGTTCATTTAATTTGCAAAAGGGTTAATTTGACTTGCAAAAAGGTGAATTTGATTGGATTTGGTGAAAATTCAATTTTCCAAATGGTGACTTTCAATTGCAAAGAAGTGAACTTGATTGAAAAAAAGGTGAATTTAATCGCAAAATAATAAATTTGACTGGCAGAAGGGTGAAATTGGTTTGCAAAAAGGGAAATTTAATTTCTAAAAGGGTGACTTTCAAATGCAAAAGGGTGAATTTGATTTGCAAAGGAGTGTACTTGATTTTCAAAAGAGGGGTGAATTTCAAATGCAAAAAGTGAATTTGATTTGCAAAAGGATGAATTTCATATGTAAAATGGTGAATTTGATTTGCACAAGAATGAATTTAATTTTATCTTTTTTTTATATACTCCTTTTACTTCCATTCTATTTCAGTGTGTCTGCTTTTTCATAACCCCAAATTTCATTGTTTCCTATACAAGTTATTATTGGTTCTTGTGATTTCTCAGGTTTTGAAGATTTTGGATGCATTCACTGACTCATTTTGATGTGATTTTTCACTTGCTTGTGAGGTAAAGTCAAAAAGCAAAAGAATTGCATGAAGCCCTGGCAGAAGTCAGTGACACTAATGACCTGACCCTGGCTTGGGTCCCTGGGCGCTTGGGACAAGGAGGCAATGAGAAAGTGGGCTTGTTGTCCAAAAATGAGCTAGTATGAATTCTCTAAGCCGCTCTAGGTAGCTTTGCAACTTGCCTCAAAAAGGACACATCATAAAATGGATTCTTAATAAGTGAATTCAAAACCTAGTGAAACATCATCCCAGGCATGATGCACACAAAGAGATTAATAAAAGGGCCATCCGCCAAAATTAGGTAGGAATTACGAGTTAACTACAACAGAACCAGGATTCTAGTCGCCTAAGGAAGTGCATGCATTGGAGTATAGGCAGAAGAAACACTGTTCAGATGACGCAAGGAAAAGGAAGAGATGCAAAACCCATTTCATGTTTTTTTAGGGTCTATGTAGGTAAAGATTCTTGCAACTAGGAGAAGAAAAACCGCAATATCCTACACTTAGGAACCGTTGGCAAGGCTTTGGAGGTTGATTAACAATCTGAAGCTGGCCAGTCACTTATAAAATTAGAAGAGCACAATAGATCTTCTCAAGTCGAGGTTTAGAAGGCCTTATGGCCACCTCTTTTATCCCTATCCCTTAGTGAAGATGTTAAATAGAAAGGGAACTGAGTGAGATCCCCGTGGGATGTTATGTGGGAGGTTTTTGGAGGCGAAGTTGGTGGTACAAGCTTTGTAACATTCATTTGGGATCATATCCAGCCAGGAAATATGTGTAATTATAATTATTATTGTTGTTAAATAATTTGTTGAAGTCGTGATGAGCGGTCAAGAATGAGGTGGTTTAGAAAACACCTTTTTCATTTTTTTTGCTTATTATTCGACCTTTTTTGGGTCATCTTCAAGGCCTGGATAAATTACAAAACATGTTGATTGGAAAAAATACAATTTAATTTAAATTTTGAACCAAGATGAAATCCTCACATAAAGTGTGGTTCGATTCTTGCGGTGTCATATTGTCTTTCCTTCGTTATCGTTCTTGATAATTAACTTCCTTTCCAATATTGAATGCCGAATCATAAATCTAATCCTGAAAATCCCCATTCTCGATTTCCTTTGAGTTAAATCAAACCGCCTATGATCAAAGAAATTTTCTCAGATTTACCGAGTCCCCCACCCAGTCACAATCATATAAAAAAGCAGAATACAAATTCACCTTGCACAACACCAATATGGCACCACAAGAACCTCACTTTATGCACTGAAGATGAGCTGAATAAACGTCGAAACGTCAGCAAAAAAATGAAAAAGGTGTTTTCTAAACTACCTCTTTCTTGACCGCTCCTTACGACTTGAACAAATTATGAAGCAACAGGTCAATAAGAAACACACATTTCTTCCCGAGAGTAACGACACAACCAACATGGGTTTTTACGAACATATCACCTACAAACATGGATATCAAGCCACTGCCACACTCAAAGAAAACACTTTCACACAACACCAATATGACACCACAAGAATAGCACCACACTTTATGTCCTGAAACAACCAACATGGGTTTTTACGAACATATCACCTACAAACATGGACATCTACCCACTGCCACACTCAAAGATAACGCTTTCATACAAAACCAATATGACACCACAAGAATAGCACCACACTTTATGCCCTAAAGATGATCCGAATAAAGGTCGAAACGTCGGCAAAAAAATGAAAAAGGTGTTTTTCTAAACTACCTCTTTCGTGACCGCTCCTCACGACTTCAACAAATTATGAAACAACAGGTTACTAAGAAACACACATTTCTACTTGTGAGCAACAACACAACCAACATGGGTTTTTACGAACGTATCACCTACAAACATGGATATCAAGCCACTGCCACACTCAAAGAAAACACTTTCACACAACACCAATATGACACCACAAGAATAGCACCACATTTTATGCCCTGAAGATGATCCGAATAAAGGTCGAACGTCGGCAAAATATGAAAAAGGTGTTTTTCTAAACTACCTTATTCTTGCCTGCTCCTCACGACTTCAACAAATTATGAAACAACAGGTCAATAAGAAACACATTATTGTTAAATTTTTTTAACAGGTTTTTTAAATTAATGTTAAATTTTTACAGGTTTGAAAAATGTGAGTTCCCGCTCGAAAAGCAATGGTGCCCCTAGGGAAAAGAAGAACGTCCGATGAGAAACGTTTATTTGATTTCGAAGTTAAACAACAAAGATGCTGTCGTATGAAAGAATTCGACGGCCGTCTTTGGTTAAATAAAAAATGAGAAGAGTCCTGAAATAAGGATGCGGATGCGGTCTTGTGCGAGGACCTGCAAACTTGGGTTGGCCGGACTGGGTCCGTCTCTCGTACCCATTACGTCCGAGTCGGGAGAGGAAAGTCTGTCGGGTACGGGTGGTGTGTGTTCTTTCGTGCGAATTTATTTACGCAGGGCGTAAACTCGGCGAAAGGGCAGGCGGTGAAACTTGGAGAGTCGAGGTCGCGGACGTCGAGCCTTCAAAATTGGTAAAAAAACAAGGATCGCCGAACAGCCTAAACCAATCACCCTGATAAAGATAAGGGGAGTACTTATGTTTGGGCGTTAGCCTCGGAAGTTCGCCGACTTATATGGGAAAAGAATTCTTTCATATATGCTGTGTTTCAAAACCGCGAGCTCGCACAATGGGAAATTGTTTAACAAGGCAGAGGTCATCGGCGAAGAAGGAAGGAGTCGGGCTCACGGCCCCTGTCAACAGTAAAGACGCGACGACCCCGACCTCCTCCAACCCTCCGCTCCAACCCCTTCAGATATCCCACGAAGGCGGAAACCGGGAAGGCAGGAACGGACCCATCCCGCCCATCCCAGAGTCGGAAAACACGGCCGGCTCGTCGAGCTCCAACGCAAAAATATTCGTCGCCCTTTACGACTATGATGCCAGGACGGATGAAGACCTCAGCTTCAGAAAAGGAGAACACTTGGAGATTTTGAACGACACCCAGGGCGACTGGTGGCTCGCGAGGAGCAAAGCGACCAAACAAGAAGGATACATCCCATCAAATTATGTCGCCAAATTAAAATCAATCGAGGCCGAACCGTAAGTAAAAAAAATATATATATAACAAAAATACAATTTTATTAAAAATATTTTTTCCTCTATTATTACTCTGTTAACACAACATTAGACTTTTTTTATCGAACAGTTTCTCAACCTTTCCAGGTACAACTGTTTAAATATTAAAACAAATCAAATGAAAAAAAAAACTTATAAAAATTTAGTTAAAATAAACAAACAGTCGAATTCCTTTTACTTTACGCAATCCCTATAGGTTTTATTATTCAAAGGAATTTTCACTTTTCCATTCGAATTCTTCACCTTCGTTTCTTCTGTATTGAACTATTGGAGCTTTTGTTAAAATAAACTTTATTAGTCAATTTCTTAAGGACATAGAGATAAAATATAAAAGGTTTTTGGCGTTTCTTCGTTTCCCCACAATTGTAATGAGATTTTTATTATTATTTTTTATTTTTTTATATTTTTTTTACCCTGCTTAATTCCAATCACACTTCACCGCTCGACCCCCTTCCGGCTCTTATTCAATTAATATCCAGTTTATATTAGCAATTAGCACGGATGGCCTCGTCAGCTCGACTTTCCACATGTAGAGGGGGATTTTTTTCTTTTTTTGATCAAGAAACCTTGTCTTTCTTTCTTTCTTTTTAAATTGTATTAAAACTTTTCCCTCTAGGCGTACTGACAACAAAAGAAAATCGGATTTCAGCATCCGATCCGTCCAGATAGTTTCTTGCTTAAACTTTCTTTTTTTTTTTAATCCTAATGATTTTTCCAACGTTGAACCTACTACGATGTAATTTCCCACGCGAATACAACAAAAGGATAAAGGAGGAAAGTCACTTTTTCCCGATTTCAAAACAGGCTCATTTTAAAATTGAGCAAATTATAATCGTACAAAAACAACAGAGAAGTTAAAGGAGGAATGTGCAAAAAGTAAGAGGGAGGGTGATTTTCCATACACTCTTGGTCTGCAATAAGCACTAAATGTTGTATTTGTAGTTTGTATAAGCATAACAATGTGTGATTATATACTGTGTTCTTTTCACTTGTTTATAAAAGGTAAATTACTGACAAGTAGAACCTACAGACGGATTTCTAATTTAAATCAATTAAAAGTTGTACCTGATTTGGTCCATTGATTTAAATGGTGTTAATTATTCCAACTGAAAAATATAAAGTGTTCAAAAAAATGGAGAGAGTAAAGGAAGAATGGGCAACAAGTCAGAGTTTGGGTGATTTTTCTTACATTCTCGGTCTGCAATAAGCACTAAATGTTGTGTTTGTAGTTTGTATAAACATAACAACGTTGTGTTCATATACCCTTCTTTTCACTTTTTTATAAAAGTTAAATTACTGACAAGTAGAACAGAATCTGTCCGTAGATTTCTAATTTAAATCAATTAAAAATTGTACCCAATTTGGTCCATTGGTTTAAAATGATGTTAATTATCCCAACTAAACAATTATAAATCATACCAAAACAACGGAGAATGTAAAGGAGGAATGTGTATAAAGTCAGAGGGCAGGTGATTTTTCATACACTCTTGGTCTGCAATAAGCTCTAAATATTATGTTTATGGCTTGCATTAACATAACAATTTGTGTTTATCTACTGTTTTTCATAGCTTTTTTTAAGAATAGAATTCGTGATAAGTAGAAATACTTCCATAATAAACTCAATTTAAAATTTTACCTTGATTATTGTTTGTACATAACTATGTGTGTTCACATACCCTTCTTTTCACTTTTTTTTTAAATTAAATTCATGACAAGTAAAACTTACAGACGGATTTCTAACTTAACTCAATTTAAAATTGTACCACGCTTGGGCCATTGATATAAAATTGTAAATTACCCCAATTAAATAATTATAATCATACAAAAATGCAGTGAAGGTAATGAAGAAATGTGTAGTAATAAGATAACTTTTTGTTTCACTTCATTGGCTTGTTTTTTTTTACTTTTCTAGGGTTTTTTCCTCTGGCTGTGGCAGCTGCCACATATATAATAAAATAAATAAAAATAAAATTTTATATAAATAATAATATTAAGGAAACAAAAATTATAATCTTGGTCTGCAATAGGTACTAAGTCTAGTGTGTGTGTACAACAATGTGTGTTTATTCACTTCAGTTTACTTTTTAAAAATTGTTTATTTTTAATTAAATTCGCCTCCTTTTTCCCTTATGAAAAAATTTATCGAGCTGCAAAATCAAGGTCATAATTTTGGCCCATTTTGGTCAACTCACTTGACTAGAAGCAATGGACTGTTTATATCTAACGTAAACTCATTTTTAAAAGAAAAATAATCTTCCTTCTTAATTTCTGGGTTGTAAATATCCTAAATCAAGAGGCAAACATTGGTATAACATATTGCTATTCAGGCTGATGATAAATGATTGCACTTCCAATTTCAAAGATCAAAAGTTTCAAAACAACAGAAATTATTCACCAGTTATGGAATTTGTAATCATTTGTTAGTTCTTAACTCAAGCGAGAGAACGAGAGAGAATGGGAAGTTAGGAAAACAGTCTGATTCAGTTCTAGCATTTGTATTAAAAACTAACAAGTGGCTTCAAAAAAGAGCAGACGAAGTAAGGCTCTTAGCAAAATGAAAGGATAATAGGTGGATTTCAACATTTCAGTTAACTTTAGCAACGATCGAGTTTTTATATGTAACTTATTCTCCATCAAAAATGAGCTGTAGCTATTAATCATGATATCCGACTAGGCTTTAGCGGCCTTGATGACTGCCGAAAAGATAATTCTGCCAACTCTGTCAAGTCAATTACTCCCAAAGTTTATACACAAGACCTTCACTCCTCAAAAATTTCCAGTCACTGTGAAAATGTCCCTGTCTCAACTCAACTTCTTCAGATTAGAGTCTTTTCTGCCCCCTTAGAAATCGAACTAGTAAGGTATAAGTCAGAACATGGTTTCACTATTGTTACCACCAGCAATGTTGGAAGCCGTAATAATTGTTAGTACATTGAAATCATGATTTCATTGATGGATTTTCTTTTAACTTTGTATACTAAATGATTTTTCATTTGACAGAATTAATTTGTTAAGACCTTTTACATTATAAAATTGCAATTAAAATCTTTTTGTATTTACTGAGACATTGATTTTAATTAGAAATTTATTTAGACATCGTGAGATGCGGTCTGGTGTGATGTAGGTTTCAGAAAAACATTTTCTTTATCATGCCAACGTTTCGATCTTTATTGAGATCATCTTCAGGGCCTGGGATTTACAAACATTGTTTACATATAACAATTNCGATTTCATGGTAAATGGTAGGTGTGGGTGAAAGCTATTAAATGTATCTAATGTAGTTTGAATTTGATCTGTGGGAACTGCTGTCAATATATCATCTACGTATTTAGTGAGGAAGGGTAATGTGAAAGGAAGTTGTGGTATGACTGTATTTAGTAGGTGTGTCATGATTATGTCTGCCAGTATCGGGCCTAGGTTGCTACCCATGGCTATACCAAATAGTTGTTTGTAAAATTGATTGTCATATGTAAAATATCCGTTAACACAGCAGTGTCGGATCATTGTAATGAACGTGTTCTTTGATAGAGTTGTGTGTGGTGTTATGTTGGGCCATTTAACTTTAATAATGTTCAGTGTTGTGTCTATTGGGATGTTGGTAAACAGTGATGAAACATATAGGGATATGAGAGAGTAGTGTGAGGGAATGTGGATATTATTAATTTTGTTAATAAAATGAAATGAATCATTTACATTATATGTGTTATCTGTGATGTTGTTGAGTATGTTGGTTAGGTATTTTGTCATGGTATATGTGGGTGAGTTTACAAATGAAATTATGTGTCTTAAAGGGTGTTCGGGTTTATGTGTTTTTACAGATCCATATAGTTTCATGGGTGTTAGTGAGTTGTTTTGAAGTGATTTGTAGGTGTATATGTCAATTTCTTTTTGTTTGTTTCTTGGAGAATTTTGTTTGTCTGTTTGATGAGAGTAGGAGTAGGGTCTGATTTGACTATGCTGTATGTGTTTGTGTCTGTGATAATTTTGTTAATTTTTTCCTTGTACTCTTTTTTACTGATTGCTACTGTTTGTTTGGTCTTATCAGCAGAAAGAATGAGTATGTCAGGATTATTTTTGAGAAAATTTTTGGTTTTGGTATATGTTTGTTGGGATAGGTTGTGTTGATTTGTAGTGAGGTGTTGAAAGTGATTTGTTATTGCGTTAATGCATTTTGATTGAATATATTAAAAAAATATATTTTGCATTGTATAAATTCACTTTCCACATCCAAAATGTAATTGTTATATGTACACAATGTTTGTAAATCCCAGGCCCTGAAGATGATCTCAATAAAGATCGAAATGTTGGCATGATAAAATGTTTTTCTGAAACCTACATCACACTAGACCGCATCTCACGATTTCTAAATAAATATCGATTAACGTCCACTAATCACCACACATTTAATTAGAAAATTAAGAAAATTGCAGTACTATCCATTTAAGCAGGTTGTGCATAGTTTTCCTACGGTGTGTCAAAAAATGCACCATCCTGTAGCTTATTAACATCAGTTAGATTTTTAGTACTTATTTATCTAACTTTTACAGGCAATTTCAGACTGATTCAGAGATACCGAGCACATTTGGTGAAGACCTGTTTAAATTAAATCTCTCAGCTACTGTCTACTAATAATCTTTGGTCTTACTGAACGTCTCCACTCTTAAGCGTCTCATTTCCGTCGCAAAATTTCAAAGATTGAAATTATTAATTAATTAAATTATTATTAATTAAAATTATTATTTAAAGCTTTTTATTATTATTAATTAAAACTGGATTGCCGTTTAATAAAATATTTAATTAATAAAGAGGGAAGGTTCTACTCTAAAGGGGGGTTCCATTACAAGCGAAACTAACAAAAAACCGAAGCCCAAACAAAAACGATTTTATTTAAAAAATGACAAGACTTTTGGGATATGTCGATTGCATTTTGAGGTGTGACAGTTTGTCTCGATCTTCTGGAGCATGTTTATACCATGTATCATCCAAGTGTAACTCGATCTCGACCCATCAATCCATACGATGTCGACTAGTCCTGAATACAGTAGAAAGAAACATCCGTTATATTTGCTTTGTGTTGTATTAATGTCTGATTTTTGTGATATCAACACTGATAGTTTGTGCAAAAAATATGTTTTACAATTTTTTGTCTTCCGTTTGTGTAAAAACTTAAAGTTGTAGTATTTTTTTTAAATATTTTTTTATGTACATTTATACTACTTTTTCAGAAATGTTGAAAATTAAATTTCAATATCAGTAATGCTCTAACAGTAGCACACTTCCCTTGCCTATGCATGCGAATCCCTCTTTGATTATACAAAAATTTAATTCTTTAGTAGTTGAATGTTGAACATGTGCTTTTGAGAATTTATGTACTTTAGTTTTTAATCAAAAAGTTTTAAGCTATTTTCTTATCAAAGAAAAATTGTCTGGCTCCTAATTAACATAAATTCTCTCTCCATCTCACTTAAAAAAAAAAATCATAAAATTACTGAATATGGAAAATTAAACTAGTAATTTTCAGCCAACTTGATCACTTCGTAAAGCTCAAGTATTTTGTGTGAGAGTATGACCATTTATTGACCATTTTAACAATGTCAAAATGTGCTAATGTTTATAGGGTGAGCTGGTTTTTTTCTTTGATATTTGTTGTCGTAATTATGTATCGAAGGCCAGAATTTATTTATAAAAACTGTTAAATTCCATGTTTATACATTAAGAGATTAATATATACACATAAAATGATAAAGTTTTTTAAAGATGTTATGTTTCTTTTGCAGCCAGCAGGGAAGCAAGTAAATTATCAGTTAATTATTGTATAGTTACTACATACTACTTGTGTTGTATATATTAATTATATACATCACAATGTTGTGGGTTTGTTTTGATAAGCAAGTTAAAAAGCACGAAAGATGACATATTTTTAGCTATACTTTAAATTCACTAACTTCATTTTAATGAAAGTTTTGAAGAAAGATCAGTGTCCAGAATAAACATTTATTTCAGTAGGGAAAAAAATTAAATCATATAAATTTTCCAATTTATTTTTGTAGTTTTAAAATTTTTTTGTTTAGTACATTTGAATGAAGGTTTGTTTTAAAAAGTAAGTCGTTCAATTGGATGTTGCTAAGTTGCATGCGTGCCCTTTATGTTTGGCAGAGGAGGGGCTGTGTATTTGATTACAATACTTACCTAAATTAATTATTTTAGCATGCAGTGTAGAGTGAATTTGATTTTATTTAATTAAATTGAATATGGTCATAACTTTTATTTATCTTTATAATTTTAAGAGTAAATTTTTTAAATAAATAGTGCATGTTGTAATACATAGTGGCCGTATTAATTTCTCAACAATATTACCTTTTTGTAATTGTCTTTTTTGTTTTTAATATATTATGAAAATGTGTAAGATTTTTACGTCTCTCTATGCAGCCTCGGCTGGTTTCACCACTTCAACTTCATGGTCTACAGTTTTTATAAGCATTTTCCAACAGTTTATGTTGTCACTGCATTGGTTCACGTTGCACAAAATTGTCTTGCATTAGGCTCCAATGACGAATGAAATGTAACTTGCACCGGGTTGAAGTCGTCTGCATTTTCCCCATTTTACCCGCACAAAATCAAAATCTTTCAATTAAGTTTGATGTCTGGGAAATAGTAAACATCTGGCGATATTAATCCTATATCAGAACAGTTTGAAAATTATTTAAATTTTTCTCATTTTATTTTGTTATATTGGTTNGAAGATAAACAAGATTGAAAAATAATCTTGATTTTCATAAAACTTTTAATCTTATAAAAATCTTCAATTTAATCCTTTGTGCTGCTCATGCTCAGTAATCCGAACTAATAGTTGCAGAGGAGTATTCGTAACAGTGAAAATTTAGGATTATAGAGGATGTTAAAAAAAATATATATTAAAAAAATAAATTCAACACTCCCTCTTTCTTTCTCATACAACACTCCCTCTTTCTTTCTCATACACACTCACTTAATCTCTCTTGCTCACTCAGTTTCTCTCTCTCTCTCTCACTCTCACTCTCTCTCTCTCTCTCTCTCTCCTCTCTCTCCTCTCTCTCTCTCTCTCTCTCTCCTCACTCACTCACTCCTCACTCACTCCTCTCACTCACTGTCTCTCTCATACTTCACCCCAAATAATGTTTAATTTGTTTCCTTTAAAATTCTCGCTTATTGATTTTTTTCCCGGTTAGGATTAATGGAATGTTCGGAGTACTGCAATTCAGAGAGCACTGTATTAAGTTTTTGTTTTGTTGTAGATAAATAGGCAATAGTAGTAATGGTATTGGAAATATTTTAACAATAGAGCATACAAAAATGTATTAGTTTCAATATTTTTATGACATACGAAAGACATTAATTTAGAAATTAACAAATTTTTATATATTATACTATTTAGATTTCACTTTGTAATCTATTTATCCTGCACTGTTTTTTGCATTGTTTGCAAATTTCCACATTGCAAGATAAGTAATTGTCGATTTGTTTTAGGTGGTATTTTGGGAAAATTAAACGGATAGAAGCTGAGAAAAAATTGCTATTACCTGAAAATGAACACGGAGCATTTTTAATAAGAGATTCAGAAAGTAGAAGAAACGATTATTCTTTGTCTGGTAAGAATTTTCATTTATTGAATAAATTTCTGTTTTTATTTTTGAATTGTGTCAACTAGCAAAAAAGTATCATGACAAATATGTTAATTTGCTTCCTTCAGTATTTTATAAAAACTATTTTATATCACATTGATTTTGTGAACTGAGACAAACAAGAATTGATGTGGATAAAATATATTTTGTCGTACATTAAGAATTTAAAATGTTTTCAACAGCTCTTTTAAATTAACCCTTTGCAGACAAGTGTCGGCAATTAGCCGCCCAAGTTTTTTCCCGTTGCAGGACACATGTCGGCAAATAGCCACCCAAGTCTCTCAGTGGCACTACCAGACGAACCAGCAAGTCTTTTACATACTTTATATCACTTTATATGCGATGTCTACAAAATCCAAAGAGAACATGTTCAATAGTCTTGAATCTGACAGGTTCGTTGATGACAGTGCTTCAGCCAGTGGAAGCTAAATTGTTACAACAAGGAATCACTCAAACTTACAAAATTACCAGTGATACTGATGATGATTAAATATTGATTAAAATAATAAAAGCATCAACATTGAATGAACTTCATAAAATTAAGGTCCTGTTACACATCATTCAGCAAGATGATAACAGGAAGAAGTAAATATTGTGTGGTATGTTCCAATTACAAAATTTTCCAAAATCTAAGGTGGGAGAAAGAGGAATCAAGGTATTATTGTACTACGTGTTCGACTAAACTGGCCTTGCATATAGACAACTGCTTTGAAAAATACGTCATGCAAGAATATAAAACGAGTAGCAAAACTAAATAGGTTTGCTTGGATTTTGTTGTATGAAAATAAATTTGTAGTTTTTATAAGCAAAAGTTCACCATTTCTAAACTGTGCGCATCAATACCTATCATCAAGGGATAAGTGTCATAGGTTAAGTAATTTTTGGGTAATAAAATCATTTCATTGTATGCTTTCAGTACGAGATGGAGATACAGTCAAGCATTACAGAATTAGACAATTGGACGAAGGAGGCTTTTTTATTGCAAGAAGAACTTCTTTCCGTACACTGCAGGATTTGGTGGAGCATTATAGTAAAGACGCTGATGGTCTCTGTGTAAATCTAAGGAAGCCCTGTGTACAGGTATAACAAAGCCAAATTTTAAATTTGTTTCCAATGATGTCAAATTCTCAGGGGAAAGAATACAATAGGTTTGTTCCAACACACTCAAAAACTATTTGCCAACTAATCCGTTATGTATTAATTGTGCATGCCCAACTTATCTACTATCGACTTATCTTGGATTCTTAACTCTGATGGAATGTTTTTTTCCAATCTCGGACTCCTTCAGTCATGGTTTGTTATGTTGCTGCTTCCATGCTTCTTTGTTAGAATCTGCAGAACCGACTATTTGGTGTCCAGATATTTATGGGTCATTTTAGACCCTACAGCAACTAATGGGGAAACAATTAGAAAAGGGTTATGGGGTGCAATTGATAACAGATTAATCCTAAGTTCTAGTGGCACCAAACAGTCGGTTCTGACAGGTTCTTCAAATCCAAAAATGTCTGCACCTTTGTGCCAGAGGTTTGCTTAATTCTTAGTGATCTTCAGTGATAACATATCTGGGTTTTGGTGGTCTACCCTTTCATATTTAAAGTCATATTTGAAGAATAGTTTAAATTTGAAATTTTCATTACTATTTTATTATGTTATTTTATTAACGTAAACAAAGCGATACAGTATACTCTTCAAGTAATTTCTTATTTAAGGTCCCAATTCCTTCTGGGTCCATTTGTTTGTCTTTCCTGGAAAACTCATGCTGTTCTGGCACTGGATCCACTTATTGGGTTTGTCTTCACTTTGGATTGTTGAACTTCTCAGTTCCTCGCTGAAGATGGCGCAATGTCGAAACACTTTTGGGTAGTTCAGTAAACCCACGAGTGAAGACGGGCCCAATAAGTGATCCAGCACCAGTTCAACAACATGAGTTTCCTGAAGTAGTTGGGTGGTGGGAGGCAATAAGGGCCTCAACCGAAACACAAAAATAGTAAGTGTCAGACCTCTTTATATATGATTTTTTTGTGTGAGTGATTTTTTAAAAAATTTCCTTTTGTAATGTAATGAATATATATTAAATAAAAAAAGTCTATATTAAAAAGAAATTGAAATCAAGTATTACTTAGAGTGATTTCTCTGATATTAATCTTGCGTATTTTAATATTTTTAGAGTAAATTAATTACATATTTGAGAGAGTTTTAATGCATATTTTGGGAATTTTGTTGCTTAACAATCTGGGCTCTAGTTAGAAGAAATTTCTGGTTTGACAAGAGTGAAAGTGTGGCTAAACATCTGGCCATAGCTCTGATGGTCAGTCCATAGCAAAATTCTCAGACTGTTTTGACAGTCAAAAACTTATTACAAACTTGACCTTTTGTAGCCGTCGGAGTTGTCAGAACAGCTGTCTGAGTTTGAGTTTGCTGAGTGTTGGAACTCTGTTCGACCACCAGTTTGCTGATGGTTTGGATGTGTGGTGGAACAAAGCTATTATTTTTTGAATGCTCAAACTATTTACAAATTTTAAAAAAAAATATACGTAGGAGTTATTCTCACTGATTTCTTACAATATATTCAATCTTTGTCCAATGTTGTTAAGTGTGATCTGAAATTGTTGCATAATAATAAAATAAAATAAAAAATGAAGAATTATGGAATTTTCAAAAATCATTTTTCTTCAGTAAATCAAAATTATTATAAAGTTCTCTATTTTGTTGTAGATAGTTTGACAAAGTTGTATGAAAATTCAGAATAGCACAACTAATAAGTTTCAGGTTATAAATTTTTTTACAATTGTTTGATGACTGTTTTTTAAATTTAATTGTATAGGTTGAAAAACCAGTTACTGGTGGATTATCTCATAGTACTAGAGATCAATGGGAAATTGATAGATCGTCTCTGAAGTTTGTTCGCAAACTTGGGCATGGCCAGTTTGGAGAAGTGTGGGAAGGTCTTTGGAATAATACAACTCCAGTTGCTATAAAAACTCTCAAACCTGGTATGAGATTTATTACTATTTATTACAATCAAATTGATACTAGTTCAAGAATTTTCTTTAACCTTGTTTTAATTTTAGGAACAATGGATCCTAAGGACTTTTTGGCTGAAGCACAAATAATGAAAAAATTAAGACATACAAAGCTTATTCAGCTTTATGCTGTTTGCACGATGGAAGAACCTATTTATATTATAACAGAACTGATGAAGAATGGGAGTCTTCTTGAATATTTACAAGGTACAGGCGATATAAATTTAAATTATTTGAATTTGTGCTTTATCATTTTTTTTTTTTCACAGGAAAGGGTCGATGTTTACTATTAGCACAGTTGATAGACATGGCAGCACAAATAGCAGCCGGAATGGCATATTTGGAGAGTCAAAACTATATTCATCGTGATTTGGCTGCTAGAAATGTATTAGTCGGAGATAGCAACATTGTAAAAATCGCTGATTTTGGCCTTGCCCGTTTAATTAAGGTATAAAAATGATCTATTTTTAATTATAACCATTACTATTTTAAACAATTATAATATTTAAATTTATGATCTGTAGGAAGATGAATACGAAGCTAGAGTTGGAGCAAGATTTCCAATTAAGTGGACGGCTCCAGAAGCGGCTAATTACAGCAAGTTTTCGATTAAATCTGATGTTTGGTCTTTTGGAATTCTACTTACAGAATTAGTTACATATGGACGAATTCCTTATCCAGGTTTGTTCTCATTTACAAAACATTATAAATGGCATTAGTGTTGGGGGTAGGGTAAAGTAAGTTTTAAACAATTTTTTCTACAAATTGGTTTTTTATTGCGCATAAATAGTAACAAATTACATTGATCACATAATTGAACACTACTTTTCCCCATCTTTCTAGCAACATAAAAAATTCCACATCGAAAGAACGACTGGTATTTGGAGGCAATGAAAATTACATTCCTCGTGCTGCTCAGACATGAGTCACTGACCGAACCGAGTAGTAGTCAAAATGAGCAGTGTCTAGAGAATTCTGCAGTTGGGGTAGAGCATTGTCATTTCTCTGTTCGTATTCCAGCTGTTTCTCCTTCAATGCTTGGCTCAAACAAATCAGTTGTAGTCGTAGAGATCCCCTGTGATAGTTTCATTTGGTTTTAGCAGGTTAATAATTCTTTAATGACCATCTAAACCCACCAAATTCAGAGCTTTAAGTCTTGAATAATTGGTTTTCCCGTTGTAGTTGATGCATGGCCAGGCTTACCCCAAGATTTCTTAAGGTTTAGATTGTCGTAATTTTCATCACCAGTTTTAATTCGATGCAAAAAAGTTTTCTTGAAAAAACAAAAAAGTTTTCTTTAAAAATCAAACTATTTCACAATATTTTAATCGAAAAATCAAAATTATTTTTATGAATAAAAACTAATAATTATTATAATAATTAAAATATTATAAAATTTCAAATTAAATTTATTGCGCTATTCAAAATTTATGATCAAATGCATTGGTAATTTTTTTTCTGTGAAATAATGTCTCAATGTCTTCTTTCACTCAAAATATGTTTCAATTTAGAAAACGAACACTTCTACGCTCGTAAGAGGGCAATTCCTTTCTTGTTTTTGACCTTCTCCAATAATGTTCCAACGTCTTCTACAATTTTTATTTGGTCGCTTAAAGTATGATTTCCTTCATCGAATTCCCCCCCCCCCTATGGCAATCAACAAAATGTATAAAAACTGAGTCAGGCACAATATACTGGCCAAAATCAATTTTATTTTAATCGAGGATTATCCATTGTCATCAGTTTGGAATACCGGTTATTTGAATTGAAAAAAGTTGTCACAGTAGAATAAAGCAGCTTCCGGCCAAGTTCCACTGAGTGATTACAGTGTCAGGAGGAAGTTGACAGTTTATAACAGATTTGTATTGACAATTAATTAATAATTAATCATTATTAATTAATTAAAATTAAGATTTTTACCATTATAGATCAATTTATTGACTTGAGGGAATATTAAGCAATGCTATCCAGTCCATGGGCCATGAAAGTGTACTGGACCATTTTCTGAAAGAATACTTTAAATGTTGATGTTTGAAAATTTGCCCTGCTTTTATCATTAAAATGCTGTCTTGAAAGGGAATGTCACATCTGGGGAAAAAGAATTGTCAAAAATTTATAGAGTGGGAGGACAAAAAATGAAACCAAAAGTCAAACCACAATTTAATGAGTTTTATAATATACATAGGGGAGTTTGTTTTAATGCAGTGTATTCACTGAATTTTAATCGCTCAGTTTTTTAATTAATATTTTATGATTATTTCCTTTACTTACTTTCCTAAGTTGTTCTTGTTTTATTTATTTTCTCACAAAATACAAAAAATGCAATTTTGTGCAACAAATCCTCAAAATGTGTTGTGCCGTGCAATATAAAACTTGATTTTGTGGTGATGTTCAGAGTAGCCTAAAAAAATATGCAATTGTATGGGAATCCAAGCTCTATTATTAAAAAATATTACTTGTTATTTACAATTAATAAAAAAATATACCAAACAAAAACCCTTGAGAACCAAAAGGCCAAAAAGATGAATAAATAATTCCTTTGACATGCTGTCCCTGATCATACTTTCAGGTAAAAGTACTAAAAAAATAATAATAATTTACCATCAAGAGAAATGTATTGCACAACAAATATTTAAAAAAATTAATGTATTGTGGGAGAAAAATTTAATTTTTTTTCTCAAAAAATCATAAAAAGGTTTCCAAAAAGTCAAATTGAAAAGCAATCTTCTCAGTAGTGTTGACTATGCAATACTAAAAAGGCCTGCGGATCCCACTCTATTCAGAAAGAAAAAAAAACTGAAAAATGGGAATTTTCTACAATTTTTGTATATAGGGAAGGGTCTATTATGTCGATCCAGAACTTGTTAAAATGAGACATAAATAGCATCTGTACATGTAAACTTGTTTTACATCAAATTTCAAATTTACAGGAATGACAAATGCTGAAGTGCTGCATCAAGTCGAGCATGGTTATAGAATGCCTTGCCCTCCGAGCTGCCCTGAAACACTCTACGAGATTATGTTAGAATGTTGGCATAAGGATCCAATGAAACGGCCCACATTCGAAACGCTTCAGTGGAAACTTGAGGATTTCTTTACAATGGAAGGTTCAGAGTACAAAGAAGCATCTGCTTACTGAAGCCACGTCACTCACCACCTAAATGCCAAGTCTCTTCCCCAATTTCTCACCAACGAGCTGAGAGGCAATAAATCTGTGTATTTCGTTTAGTTGAAAAATTGTGTATTTACAGATTCTGTATTAAAGTTTGCACTTCTTTAATCAGGTAAATAGGTGGTGAAGGATAAATCATAAGTCAACATCGATGTTTTTAAAAATATTTTTGATTAACCAATTTTAATTGGGAACTTTGATGTCATTATTAAATAGACTATTTCAAAGTAATTCTTTAAGGTTAACTAACTTTAACCTTGGTAGTATTTACCTTATTAGGTAAGACCTTATTTAATGTCTTATTCAAAATGGTATGTTCTATGTCTCTTTGTATTGTGTAACTCTATCAACCCTTGGTAAAAATATATAAATTCATCTATTATTTTCTTTTACAATCATTTTTTTATTTTTTATAGTTTTAGAAATGTTATAAGACTTTTAATTATGACACTCATGCCCCACAACAGTCTAACCTTTGCTCCAAAGATGGAGAACCTTATATTCTTCCTTTCACGAGGTGTGTTAGTTTAAAATTCTAAATATAAAGTGTCATTTTACAAATATTGTGTGTTATTCTTCTATTTATTTTATTGCATTGTTTATTTTTGTAGCGTGTCAAATGTCTTAATTATTATTATTATTTTTTTTTTTTTTTTTTTTTGGTTTCATGTGATTTTTGTGACAACTGCCATTTATAATGCTGAATAAGAGCTTTCATTTCAAATTAAAAATAATAAATGTATTAAGGGAAATGCATTTTTTATATAAGGTATATTGGAATCTCATCTGTCAAATAGTCGATTATATGGTGTGTTGTTGTCTAACAATTTTTAAATGTTTATGATTTGTCGTATAAGGGTGCAATCATTAAGACAAATATCTGATGTCTCTATTCTGTGATAATTTTTTTGCTTGATATTAACCAGAGCCATTTTTACATTCTATTTGTTTGGTAAATAAACTCGCAGGTTATAACGCCTGATACATACTCAAACCTCAGCAATAAAAAAAAAAAATCTTTTTGTATTTTTTTATGAACAGAGTTAAGTTTTCCTCAATCCTCAAATGAAATGAGGAATTTGCTTCACAATAGTTATATATAGGTATATTATTTGCTGAGGTACACTGACTGTTAAAAAAAAATTAATTAAATAGTTTATACATTACGTAAAATATTTAAGGTATATACAATTTAAAATACGTTGTCACGTTAAAAAAAAGAAACGCACAAATTTTAGAACGTGTTAGGTAATAAAATAGGATTCAGTCGAAGGTAATAATTTGTAAGACTATAAAGATGGCTCTATAAATAATAGTTCATTCACATTGAGCAATGGCATTTAAAAAAAGGACATTACAAATATTAAAATTTGAGGACCATGTTTATACTTACTAATCAAAACGGCTTCAATTACTATTTAAATAGAAATTCTAGTAAAAATATTCCTTTTGGTTACCACAAATTTTATTATTATTATCATTATTATTATTAACATAATGATTAATGTTAGCCTGGAGTTTTAAACTATTGGATTGGGATTTTATTTGCCTTAATCATAATTGGCATTTTATTAATTTATGTTTAATTATATAAATATCAATACTAATTAGACATTTTTTAAAATCAAATTACAAAATGAGCACACTTTTGGCTAGATGAGACAGACTTTGCTAGTTAAACATTCCAGTATTCCTAAGTTACAGCTATTCAAGATCATTTTATTTAAAATTACAGATTTTTTTGTAATACATATAAAAATATATTACAGAGGTATTAATTTTATAAAGACATAACAAAGACATATTAATATTTCTTTGATTTTTATTTTGAATATATGTATGTCTGGGGAAATAAGTGCATTTTGATTAGGTGTTTTATTTTATTTTTTATATTCCAATAGTGGTATTTTAATTCCATTGGTACATTATTAGTTGTAAGACAGTATAATTTTTAAAATGCGGTTCATAGCCGTTATGCTAACATAATTTATTTTGTGTAGGCTTTGCGCTTTATTTTGAAAGTTTCAGTTTTTTTTTCCATTCGCTTTCTTTTGATGGAAAATAGTTTTTGCTCATTATTTCTGTAAATTGTAAACTTTCAATTTTAATATTATTGTTAAGTAGAATAAGTCTTCCGCTGAAATATTTAAAATATATTCACATCGCATACAATGCCGCATAATTATTGTACTTAATGCCTCGATTAAATATTGAAACATTTCAAATTTCTAAATGTTAATTTTGTTTTATATCTTTTTTAAGCAAATTAGTAGAGGTTTGCATTTCATGTTTTAAACAATATTTTAATTAGATGTGTAAAGATATATATCCAACTATACCAATAGTAGTAGTACCAATAGTAATCTTAATAGCATAAATATTAAGAATAACTTTATTTTCACAATGTTTATTCGATCTTTCATGTTTTAGTTATAATTTTTTTGTTGTAATTAGAGAAAAAAAATTATTTACAATTTCATTAATCTTGAGCAAAAGAATTTTCTTTGAGAAAATGTATTATAAAATTTACAAAAGTTGACATATTGGGATTTTTTAATTATATATTTAATTTTTTTTTACTATTTTTATTTGAATTTTAAGAAATAAAAGACCAAGTCATGTAATTAGTTCAGTTTTTGTTTTTTTAAAGTTTTCACTATTTAGAATACAGTAGACTCTCGTTATCCACAGCGCATAAGTACCAAGCTTCACCGCGTTTAATAGGAAACACTTCAAATTTCAGGTTTTTTCGTCTATTCACGTACCAATCACATGCTCTATATCATGTGTGCCTATTGTCAATGTTATCTGTAAAGTTATGTATACATTTCAGGGGTTTTTTTCCAATAAGAAAAATACAATGTATGGTAAAATAAATAAAAATTTTTCCAAACAGGAAAACAATATGTATATTGACAGTATGCACCTATACACGACATCGAATCACAATTATATCACAAACTTTCATAACCGATTTTGAAGTCTGAGGTGCTGATGAATCACAAGAACGAATTTTCGCACTATTTTTGAGTATTTCACGGATGACTCACTTTGTAAATTTTAGCGACTTGTATGCACGAGTTATGTCGTACATGGCAACCATGGATGAGTGAAAGCACGGATAACAAGAGTGAGTCTACTGTATTTAAAGGTTCACTTATTGAAATCATCAAACAATTTACAACTAATTTAGTATCTATTCAGTTATATATCTATTTTTTTTCATAAGTTCAGAATTTTTAAATATATTAACAATTACTATTTGTGTATTATAAAATTAACAGTGCTTCATTTGTGTGCAAATCATTTTTAAAACAATGTACAGTCTATAATGTATTGTGTGAGAAAGTCATATTAATAAGTGTCGATTATTTTATTTTATACTTGTTCATCATACATTAATGATTTCGTTTAATTATTTTACTGTCTGCACTGTATTAATTTCTTGTCATTAACATTTTGTAATTTGATATATTCGTTCAACAACTTTTCATGTAATTTTTGTAAATACTTTTTAAATCTACAAATACCATAATACATTATTTGGTAATAGTAATAATAATAATAATGGTAATAATATTTAATGTTTTGCAAAGTATAAAATTTTGAACTTCCTTTTAAAATATGGATATAAGAGATATTGCAACTCGAGTTTTATTAACTTTAAATGTGTAAATATTAGGAGTATTCGATCATTTGTTTAAAAAAACCGTTTAATATCAAATGAGTATATATCATGTAAAATATTTATAGGATTCAAAATGTTGTGAACTTTGTATTAATGTTTGATAGCCTATCGAATGATTTGTATACAAAAGTTATGCTATCATAAATTAACAAATATGAATATATTATAGTGTAAAAGCACAGTGTACCTATTTTGGGCAATATTGTAATGAGTTTTATAATTACTACTAGGTTACTTAAGAAGGATTAAATAGAAATTAAGAAATTGGAGTATTGGTTTTAATATTTTGTATATAATTACTCCATTGACCACATTATTGTTTTGTTAAATTGTACAACTTTTTCTAAAATATAAGAATGTTAAACATGTGAAAGTTTTCCCCTGCAGTGAATAATTTGATTATGAAGTACCTACTGTCACAAGATCGGTGTGGTGATGAACAACTTTGAACTTTGCTTAACACGTTAAGGGCGGTGGGTATTTGTCCGCATTGTTTTCTATTGGCTATTTTTTTTCTACTTTCATCCATATTTTGAAGCAGTTTTTAGATTCAGGATAAAACCAGCTTTCAAAGATGTGCGCCATTCCACTCCCCGCCTGAGAAAATTGGCTGTGAAATTTCTTTAAAAATAAACTTCTTAGCTTTTTAAAGGTAAGATTTGATCATTTTTACATTAAATAAGATTACGGAATTGGCAGATGCGTCTTAAATTCTAAAATATTTTGAGATTTTCAGGGTTTTGTATACAAAAATGTAACTATTTGTTGGGTTTTGTATACAAAAATGTAACTATTTGTTGTTCTCTTCATTTAATTTGTAAGTAATTTAATTTTTAAATAATTTGGTTATTGTAATGGTAAATATAAAAATTTATTTAACTTCTTCATGGTTTATAAATTAGGTTTTGTTAATTTTTGAAAATTGACATTTATAGACAATACTTTAATATGTCGTCGGATATGTGCATAGTATTGAGGCTCAGTGGCTGGCCAGACTGCTGTTCCAGGATCTAAGGGCTGTAGGATTTTTAAATATTGTTGTGTTTATGTTAATTTACTGGAATGAATGTAATTAATTAACAGAAAAGGAAGGGGTTATCTATCGAGGATATCTAGTACTTCGGGGTGAGTGTGTGATGCCTGGAAGGTAAAAGGAAGTTATTAGCGAAAATGGAGCAGGTTCGACTCTACTCCGAGTAATAATTGTATTGTATGTTTTATATCTATTCTGTAGTTGAGTAGAAACGAGGGGATAACATTTTAAGATATGACTTTCATATAAAAGCAGAGAGTCAATTACAGATCAAGCTCAAATGGCTCAGGTTAGAAAATAAAGGTGACAAGACCAGAAAAATAAGTTTAAAAAAATGCAGAGGGCTGGCGATAACTTCAGCTGTTGGTCGGTACCTAAACTTCTCATATTATTATTACTATTATTTTGAAAATGGAGTCTTACTAGGAAGAGGTGTAAAATGAAGAAGAAGGTAAAAATGGTTAGAAAGTTTAACTTTCACCTCTTCCAGGCACTTCTCATGGATAGCTTCTTCTTGGTCAATAGATATTCGCAAGTGGATAAAAAGCTAAACGACTTCCGACAGGAAGTGATAACATCTCTGTTGTTTAGAGAATATCCTTATCATCCTGTCCATAGAGTCCTTTGTCCTCTTACTGGCCATTTTCCTACTCCCCTACGTTCAACGTCGAGGGCAAAAAAATCTTTTGTGTAAATTGCAGCAAAAGAGCTGAAGGGTGAGGTAAGAAAGCGAGAACATGCTTCTACAAACCAGGTTTTGAATTTGTTGTATATAATAGGGTGTTTTTTTAGGGTTGTCGGTGGACACAACAATTGAAACAGCGCTCATCCCTGTAAGGTAAACGTCCCGGGTTTGAATCCAGTGTCCCTGCATTTGAACCCAACATACACACAAATTGTTTTTTTGACACTGACACCCCAAGGATTCATATAACCTCATAATGGAAATACCCTTGTAAAAAAATTTTTTTTTTTATTTACAGCAAATTATTATTAAGACTGAAAGAACCCAGGTATTCTGTGGTAGTGTAATTTATTTAGAAATTGACTTTTGGGCTATAAAGCCCATCTTCAGTATAACAAACATATAATTTTAAGGTTCTACACCTTAACACAAAAAAACGAACATGTCATTCAAACTATCATCCAGGCATATATATACACATTGAAGTACAAAAGACTAAAAATCGTTAGGCTTTCTCAGCCACTAAACAAAATATACTTGTTTTAGACGTTGGTGTCATGTCAAAAAACCTGTGGTCCTCTAGGCCTTTGATGTTGTTTTGATCTGTCACTTCTTATATGTAGTTTTCGGTGATTCGGGACCTTAAAACATATAAAAGGTACCTGACCGATACAAAATAACACATACAAGAGAACGAATCGTCAGATGTTCTCTCGAAAAATCTTGATTTTATCACTTTTTACCCAGTCCTTGATAAATTTTAAACGCTGAAGACGTCAAAAAATATTCTCTTTGGTCCTATGGGCCTTACTCGCCTTTCATTTCATACTTATTAACAACCTTTTCGTTGATCCACCTTCAAACATACAAAATAACACATACAGTCCAAGTCCGATATTTAGGTGTTCTAAGCCACTATACTCGAAAAAATCTTGATTTTTACACTTACCCAGAGCTTGATGGAAATTTTAGACGCTCAAGTCGCCCCGAAAAATGATGGTTTTTATAAAAATTATTTATCATTTTTTTATCATTTGCACTCAATCAACGATAAACCTTCAAGAAAATAATGCATCTGTTTTGTTACTCTTTGGTCTTCTAGGCCTTTGATCTCCCATTTATTAAGTTTTTCATTGATGGACCTTCAAAGTACAAAAAGGACATGAAAGACACAAAATAAGACATCCAAAAGTTCTAATATCTAGGTGTTCTCAGTCATTACACACGAAAAATCTTGATTTTTTTAACTTTTTCACCCAGGTAGTGATAAAAATTTTGGACGCTGAAGATATGTCAAAAAACATTCTCTTTAGTTCTCTAGGCCTTAATTCTCGTTGATCTTTAACTTCGTTCCGTTGATCAAACGTATAAAAAAGAATAAACGATTCAAAATAACACATAAAAAAGTCCGAATCTTTAGGTATTCTCAGTCGCTCACTCGAAAAATCACGTTTTTTACTTTGTACCCAGAGCTTGAAAGGAATTTTAGACGCTCAGTCGTGCCGAAAAATGATGATTTTTAAAAAAATAATTTACCTTTTTTATCATTTGCACTCAATCAACGAAAAACGTTCAGGGAAATAATGGGTCTAATTTGTTACTGTTTGTTCTTCTAAGCCTTATTTGTCTTTGATCTTCCATGTATTAAGGTTTTCGTTGATCCTGTTACAAATGTATAAAAAATAATAAACGATACAAAATACCACATAAGTCCGAATATTTAGGTGTTCTTGGCCACTATACTCGAAAAATCTTGGTTTTTTGTTTACTATTTCACCCAGAGATTGATAAACATTTTAGACGCTGAAGACATGTCAAAAAAATTGGTCCTCTGGGCCTTACTCGCCTTTCATTTCCTAGTTATTAACAATTTTTTCGTGTTTTCGTTGATTCACTATCAAATGTAAAAAATAACATATAAAAGTCCGAATATTTAGGTGTTCTCAGCTACTATACTTTTAAACTTTTTCACTCAGAGGTTGATAAAAATTTTAGACGCTGAAGACATGTCAAAAAACATTCTCTTTGGTTCTCTAGGCCTTAATTCTCGTCTCTAACTTCGTTCCGTTGATCAAACGTATAAAAAAGAATAAACGATTCAAAATAACACATAAAAAAGTCCGAATCTTTAGGTATTCTCAGTCGCTCACTCGAAAAATTACGTTTTTTACTTTGTACCCAGAGCTTGAAAGGAATTTTAGACGCTCAGTCGTGCCGAAAAATGATGATTTTAAAAAAAATAATTTACCTTTTTTATCATTTGCACTCAATCAACGATAAACCGTCAAAAAAATAATGTATCTGTTTTGTTACTATTTGGTCTTCTAGGCCTTTCTTATCGTTGATCACCGCTTTATTAAGTTTTCGTTGATGGACCTTCAAACGTACAAAAGGGACATGAAAGACACAAAATAAGACATCCAAAAGTCCGACTATTTAGATGTTCACAGCCACTACACACGAAAAATCTTGATTTTTTACTTCTTCACCCAGAGATTGATAAAAATTTTGGACGCTGAAGACATGTCAAAAAACATTCCTTTTGGTCCTCTCGGCCTCACTCGCCTTTCATTTCCTACTTATTAACAATTTTTCGTGTTTTCGTTGATCCACCTTCAAACATACAAAATAACACAGAAAAGTCCGAATATTTAGGTGTGATAAACATTTTAGACGCTGAAGACATGTAAAAAAACATTCCCTTTGGGCCTCTGGGCCTTAATCGCCTTTCATTTCATATTCATTAACTACTTTTTCGTTTTTTCATTGATCCATCTTCAAACGTACAAAAAGAACACAAAAATCTGAATTTTTAGGTTTTCTCAGCCACTATACTCAAAAAATCACGTTTTTGCTTTTTTTAGAAGCTTTTTAAGAAATTGTAGACGTTTTCCACCAATTTAATCTCTATTTTATGTAATTCAATTATGGTAAGAATAAAAAAATTGTTTTTCTTGTTCGGTACAATTTTTAATAAAATGGTGCTTTTTCTTGAGTTGTCTTGAGAAGAAAGCCCATTTGAAATTTTCACATTTATGAATAATGTAATAGCACATTCATATAATAATTATCTTAGATGTAGTAGGACAGTGACCTAGAGAATTGTGTTTTTTTTCACTCTTCCTTCTATGTTTGGGGTGAGAGTGTAGATAAAATATTATCTAAGAAAGGGCGACCCCAGGCAGAAAGGCTGAGCCCCACCCAAAGTGTCTTTCTTGTTCTCGGTCGTCGTTCGGCTCACTCGGTCCCAGCCTCTCGGCGTTTGGTGCACAGACCTCAGTCGGGACCTAGACTCGGGCTTGCTCCGACGCACCAACCAACACTTCACCGACCTGGTACAGACATCGTTTACCGTCTTCCAATTGAAATCTTCCGATTTGGTACAGCACTGGGAATCTTCGACTTCCCAAGGTATTTATCCGTTTAAATCTAGTAGAGGATTTATTTTTAGGACGATTTTGTTGAAGAAGAGGCTGGACGTTTGTAAAGATCATATCGGCCGATATATATATTTTTTTCTCTAACGGATAGCGATAGGAGATAATGGGACACTTCTTGGTTTTTTCCTCCGGCCTGGTACAGAAAACTGAACACCGTGTGGAATTGTGGTCACTTTTTTTATTTTTATTTCCCGACTTAATCTTCGTAAAGCACCGTTTCTCTAAGCCCCTATAGGTTAGAGCCACTTGTGGCTTCCTGTGCTTTCCAAAAGTATTTTCACGTGTTTTTCTAAGAAGGGCCTTCTCCCCCTTGGAACATTTGGCCCTAGGGTCACCCCGTTGCGGGTTTACTTATATTTAGGTACCCACCCGACCCGAAGTCTTCCTAGGCGCTTTACCTAACTTTTTCGAATAATTGATACTTTTCTATATTTCTGATTCGAGCCGTCGCTATAAAACATCCTCGGAGAGATAAATATTTGCCCTAACGGCGAATGTAATTCCGAGATAAAACCGGAACTTGGACTAATCAGTACTCATTGCTCTCTGATAATGGAATTGTGTTGGTGTTTCAAAATTATGTCGTGCCTCGGATAGAAAATGAAACCGTGGAAAAGCGTCGGGGATTTTTCATTCAAAGGCGACCCCTGACTTGAAAAATGCCAATTGAAAAATTACTCGGATAAGCGATTTTTCCACCTGGGACGAGTGTTTCGGTCGATGTGTCGACTTCCTTTTCACTTTTCATTTTTTTCTCTTAGTTTTTGTTCGCCGTCTGCACTTTATCCCTCGGTGGAAAGTGATCCCTATTTAAAAAAAATTGCATTGACCAAACGCCGGGTTTTCATTTTAATAATAAAAAAAAAATCTTAAAAATATCATAGTCAAGCCAGAGTTGGGCTCACATTTGTATGAGAATTCTCTCAAAAAATTCGATTTTTTTTTCTTTTTAAAAAATTTACTATTCACCACAAACATTTTCGACTCTAGCCTCATCATTGTTTATTATTTTATAATAATTTTATATTTACAAACAAACTAAAATCGGAAAAAAATCCTTCATCGGGCTTTCGAGGAATACTTTTCGTCAGGACGAGGATTTTTGTGCCTGGAGAATATAAAACTCTTGTCAAATTTGGAATTCTCAAAGCATAAATTATTCGGCGATTGTTTCTATAACGTTAGAATTCTTTTATGGATCTTAACATATCAACGCATGCAGCTTTTTTAGTGTAACATTGCAATTTATGCTGATAGAAAAATAGCAAAGTAAAGTAAAACAATAAAAGTAAAAATTATTTACAATTATAATGTATTTGAGCATAGCAGGGAGTCTATGGGGGGTACTATTTCCCTTACTACATTACTATTAAATGTGCATCTTCTGTTGTACATAGATGGTTTAGTTAAAATAACGTGTGTAAATGTATTCATTAGCGTGAGTGTGATCGAAGGCTGTATGTTGAAGGTCTCGGTTAGGCTAATATCAAGAGGAAAGTTATTCGTCGATTTGTATTGTATTGTATTGCTGTAGATTTATTTTCATACTGTTATGATTTAAAAAAAATTCTGACATTCCAACCAGAGGAGGAAAAGGCTGACAAGGATCGAGCACAGCAGAAAGGCTACAGGTCTCCTCTTCTTAGTTTTGGAAGAATTAGATAACACTTGTGTGCGAGAATGCATTTATTAGCGTGAGTCAATAGTGCGACTGCTGGCTAAATATTAGAAGTAGAAGTCTAATTGGACAAATATGAAGAGGAAAATTATTCGTGGATTTGTCAGGGTTGTTCAGTCAAATTTTTCCTAATAAAGTCGTAAGTTTTCATTCCAACTAGAGGAAGAAAAAGCTGACAAGAATCGAGCACAACAGAAAGGCTGTAAGACTTTTCTTCCTCGTTTTGGAAGAATTACATATCTTCTGCTGTACATAGATGGTTTAGTTAAAACCACTTCTGTGCGTGAATGTATTTATAAGCGTGAGTGTGACCGATGACTAAATGTTAGAAGTAGAAGTCTAATTAGGCAAATATGAAGACGAAAATTATTCGTGGAGTTGTCAGGGTTTTTTTCATTCAATTTCCGATTAATAAAGTGTATACATTAAAATTATTTTTTTGCGTGAATGTATTTATCACCGCGAGTGTATAACGTGATCGATGGTTGAATATTGATGGTTTAACTAGGCCAATATCAAGAGGAAAATTATTCGTGGATTTGTCAGGGTTTTTCATAAAATTTCTACAAATAAAATACGTAAATTTTCATAAGGTGGTGTAATAAACAATAATAAAATATTGATATTCTAACTAGGCCGGAAAAAATTGACAAGGATCGAACACAGCAGCGTGTCTATGGATCCTTTCTGCCTCTTTTTAGAAGAAACGGGTATCTTGTGCTGTACATAGATGGTTTAGTTAAAACGACTTGTGTACGTGAATGTATTTATCAGCATGAGTGAATAGTCTAACCAATGTAGGAATAGTGAAAGTTTAATTAGGCCAATATCAAAAGGAAAATTGTTTGTGGATTTACCGGGGGGGGGGGGGTCAGACAATATCGACTGATGAAGTATAGATATTGTCATAAGGTGTTTTAATTAAAACCGTTAAATATATATTTTAATAATAAATGTATATTTTTTATAACAAAATAAAATACTGATAATCTAACTAGACCGGAAAAGCAGACAAGGATCGACGAGCACAGAGGCGAGTCTATGGGTCCTTTTTTCCTTTTTCCGGAAGAAATAGGTATCTTCTCTGCATAGATGCTCATTTACAATGACTTGTTTTCTTGAATGTATTTATTAGCGTGAATGTATAGTGTGATCGATGGCTGAGTATTGAAAATCTAATTAGGCCAGTATCAAGAGGAAAATTATTCGTGGATTTGTCAGGATTTTTCCGTCAATTCTTCCCAATAAATTATGTCAAATTCATCCCGTAGTGGAATCAAAAAAAAAAAAAAAGCAATTATATCTCTAACCCCTCTCGGCAGATAAGGATGATCGAAGACGACCAATGTTTCCTCAATGTATAATAATAATTTTTAATAATTATAATTTTTCTTATAGAAAATTTTCGTTTTATAATTGAACATTAAATCCTCCCCTTCCTAACATTGCTTTGTTGTTGGTGAAAAAGTGTTTAACAATGGTGGTTTTACCCTGAATGGGGTGGGCAACAGGTTACGCCTTTTATTGCGCTTATTGTCATCCCTGATGCAGGCATTAGGAAGGAGATGAAAACCTATTAAATCTAAATTATTTGCGTACAATACACGAACATAATATTGCTACGACAACATAGTATTTGTAGCATAAGATCAAATTAAAACTATGTGGTAATATTTTTTTTGCACGTATATCTAAGAAAGGAACGTTGTAAAAAAATCCACTATGCCGAACTAACAGCATAAAAGAGGATAAAATGACGAATTTCTAATTGAATTATCATAATGTACACAATTACATTCGAAATATTTACAACTCAAGCAATACATGTCTAAAACTTAAATAAAAAATTTCAGTTTAATCCACCCTTTTGCTAATAATCATCTTCCATACTTTTAGAAATTCAATAATAAGCTCAATTCCTGAATATGGTTTCTTGTTCAATTTTGAAACGTTGCGGTGTGTGGTCTGCGAGGTGGTGGGCCTCGTCCACGATCATCCTGGTTGTATCACCACCTGAAGACATCTCTTCCTCCTTTAATCGTCTTTGAGGACTGTCGGGAAGGATACGGGATGAAAGGTGTCGGATTTGGGTGTTGGGATGAGAGTGCTGTGTCTTGTGGACTCTGTATCGATTTTTTGTAGTTTCGAGTGTAAATGGATTTGAAGATCTGTGTAGATAGTGAAGTCGGATACGAAGTAGGGGGGTTTGGGCAAAAGTTCGAAGTGGAGTGACGGATTCTTTTGAGGTGAACCCAACAGTTGGGAGATGAACTGAGTTATACATTGGTGGAGAGCGTGAAGGCTATTTGGTTTCATCGAGTCTGACCATCCATTTCTTGAGCCATTTTTCCAAACAGGATTCTGGATTTGATGTGAGTAATGTATCGGGATTGATAGGAATATCCGCTGTGTACAATGCATAGAAAATGGGTCTAAGAGACTTGCAGAGCACTTGCTTCGGCGTAGTGGATGTAGGAGAAGGATGTTCCTCCCTAGGAACGCCAGCGGAGGGGTTTGAATATTATTTGGATTTGGTTTCTTGGTGTCTGTTTCTCCATTTCTTTGAACCGTTCTTCCAAACAGGAGGTCCTGGAGGTTTCTGATTGCCATGCAGGTTCTGGGTTTCTGAAAGAATGTGGGAATCGCCTGCATATGTGAGTACTGAATTGAGATTGATAGGAATGCGTGCAGTGTATAATGAGAAGAAAATGGAACCAATGATTGTGCCTTGCGGAACACTTGCTTCGGCATGTGCATGGATTTAGTTGCGTTGTGTCTAATCCTTGTAAATGAACATGTGGAATTTCGTGTTGTGGTCTGCTTTGTGACGGGCCTGTAGCTTGATTATCCTCGAACATCGTCTGCCTCAGACGTTTTTTAAAATACAGTGGCAGGTTTAAATGGACTAGCTTCATCTCTGATCCGATTGTTCTGCCTATCCTGTGTAATGGCTGAGAAAACCTAGTTTTTTATTTGTTGGCCTGTGTGTTATTTTGTGCCATTCACTGTCCTTTTAATACGTTTTGAGTACACAACTGAGACTGGAAGTGGGAGATTAGAAACATATAAGGCCTAAGATCCAAGACGATTTTATTTTTCGACTGGATTATAGATTCTACAAAAATTTATAGAGCACAGCAGATCAGAAAAAAGGCCAATCTGTGAAAAATCAAATATGCAATGAGTAATAACGTACATCATTTTGTACTTGAGGAATTGACGTATTCCGTAGAATTTGAATTCTATATGAACCCAGTTTTTCTCTTTGAAAAAGGTGATGAATAATTTTTTAA